CATGTTGGTATTAATTCATTATTGTTGTTAGCCACAACGTCACTCCACCCTTCTTTGGTACACATTGGACAGGACTGACCCATGAGCTGTCTGAAATGGGGTAAATAATCCCTGCATCAAGCCACTTGATAACTTCCTTCTTTATGACTTCCTTCATAATGGGGTTCAGTCTGCGTTGCTGTTCAACTGAGTTGTTGCAGCAATCCTCCAGCAAAATTTTGTGCATACAAACTGAAGGGTTGATTCCTTTGATGTCTGCAATTGTCCATCCTATGGCTCTTTTGTAGTTCTTCAGCATTTCCAACAACAACTTCTCTTGCTTTGAATCCAAAGAGGATGAAATTATCACGGGTAAGGTGCTTCCTTCTCCTAGGTAAGCATACCTCAAATGTGAAGGGAGAGGTTTTAACTCCAACACTGGTGCTTCTTCAATAGATGGCTTGACCCGCTTAAACACTGCCCCAGTTAATTCCAATGATTCAAACGACCTCTTCCCATTATCTCCGTGGTGCTTCGTTCCCACCCATGTCACTTGAACTTCATCCTCTCCGCTATCCTCATCAAACTCGCCAGACAAAGACACCTGAAATGCATCCTTGCAGTATTTCTTATGGATTTCTTCATTCACAACATCATCAAAAACACTCACAGCAGCACATTCTTCTATATCATCCGGGAATTGTATAGCTTTGAACACATTGAAGGTGACCTGCTCATCATGAACCCTCATTGTGAGCTCTCCTTTTTGTACATCAATCAGCGTCCTGCCTGTAGCAAGAAATGATCTACCTAAAATGATTAGCACCTCCTTGTCAGCCTCATAGTCGAGCACGATAAAGTCCACATTGAAGATGAACTTATCTACCCTTACTAGAACATCTTCGATCTTTCCTTCAGGGTATGCAAATGAGCGGTCAGCCAGTTGAAGTGTGACCGTGGTTGGCCTTGCTTCACCTATGCCCAATTGCCTGAAAACTGACATTGGCATCAAGTTTATACTTGCACCGAGATCACATAGGGTCCTTCCACAGTAGGTGTCTCCAATAGAGCATGGAATTGTGAAACTTCCAGGGTCTCTTAACTTGGGTGGCAGCTTACTTTGCAAAATCACACTGCATTCTTTCGTGAGGGCCACGGTCTCAAATTCTCCTAACAGTCTTTTCTTCGTAAGCATGTCTTTCATAAACTTTGCATAGGTTGGCATCTGCTCTAAGGCTTCTATAAGAGGTATGTTAATGTGGAGTTGCTTTAATACATTAAGAAACTTGCCAAATTGCTTATCTTTTTGTTGCTTCTGAAATTTCTGAGGGAATGGTGGTGGCAAATTGACTTTTTGCTGATCCGGCATGTTCTGTTGTGGTTCTCCATAAAATTTTCATTAGAATGCTGATTTGCTGCATTGTTCATGCCATTTCCCATGGTTTCTTCTAGTTGGACTGAAGAGGGCTCTCCATGCTTTTTAGACTTGTCTTTTGGCATCTCCAGCTCTTTCCCCTTTTTAAGAACAATTGCCTTGCAATGCTCCTTCCCTTCACGCCTTGGATCCTCCGTATCACTAGGCAAAGTCCCTTGGGGTCTGCTATTTAGAGCATTAGCAAGCTGCCCCATTTGGTTTTCTAGATTCCTCAAAGACGCTGCCTGGTTTTGGATCATGGCAGATTGATTTTGAATCACAACTGTTTGGTTTTGGATCACCATTTCGTTCTTTGTAATGTACTCTTTTATCATGGTTTTGAGTGCATTTTTCTGCTCCTGGTGTACTGGTTTTTGAAAGGAGTTTGTTTGTTGGTTACCAGGTGGTGGGGCTATGCAGGTAGGTCCACCTGATGAGCTTAGGTCTTGGTTACCCCAAGAAAAATTCGGATGCTGCTTCCATCCGGGATTGTAGGAATTGGAGTATGGATTGTTTCCTCTGTTGAAGTTACCCATATAACACACTGATGCTAGGTTAGAAGGGCATGCTTCAAATAAATGGTCATCTCCATAGTATACACATGAAACATCCGCTGTTTTCACTCGTTGAGCCTTTCCTGATGTTTTCATGGACTTAACCATGTTGGCTAAAGAAGACACTTGGGCTGTAAGAGCAGTCAATGCATCCACTTCATAGGTCCCAGCTCCCCTTCTTCTTGTAGTATCCCTGCTGACTGGGTATTAATAGTCATTGTTGGCTATCCTCTCTAGAATTGCATACGCTTCATTGTAGGACTTGTCAAGAAGCGCCCCATTTGCAGATGAATTCACCACCATTCGAGTCTGAGCATTAAGACCGTTATAAAATATCTCCATTTGACTCCAATGTGCAATACCATGTTGTGGGCATTTTCTCAACAAGTCTTTGTATCGTTCCCAAGTTTCATATAGTGTCTCTTCATCCCGCTGCTGGAAAGAAGTAATGTCATTCCTCAATTTGGTGTTCTTAGTAGGAGGTTGATACTTGAGCAAGAACTTCTGAGCTAGATCATTCCACGTGGTGATTGAGTCTGGAGGCACTGAGTTCAACCATGTTTGAGCCAAGTCTCGTAGAGAGTAAGGAAACAACTTCATTCTCAGAGCTTCTTGCGATACCCCCTGTTGTTTGAACGAGTCACCTACCTTAATGAAAAGTCTGAGATGCAACCGTGGATCTTCGGTGGGCAGGCCAGTGAATTGTCCAACTGTTTGGAGCATTTGAAACATCACTGGTTTGAGCTCAAATTGTGGGGCCTGAATATCTGGTCTAACAATGCACGGATTTAGATCATCAAAAATAGGCACAACATGCTCCCAGATAGGACGGTCTCTGTCATTTATCACCGCTGCATTGTTCCCATTATTCCCATTCCCATTCCGGACCACAACATGTTCCTCCATGTTAGCTAAGTTAGCCAACCCACGCTGCTCTCTTCTTCGTGCCCTGAAAGTGCGCTCGATCTCAGGATCTAGAGGAAGCAACTCAGGTTCTTGTGGCACGTTCATGCACCAAATTCAATATCCTGACTGAAAACAAAAGTTGAGATAACTATAAAAACAATGAAGACAGAATGAATAGCAAATGATTTTTACAAAATTTCTCAATGATTTTAATCCCCGGTAACGGCGCCAAAAACTTGTTGCACAATATCTTACGCTCAAAATAATGTGAATTTTTTATGCAAGTGTACACAGCCAATAAGTAATAAAGAGTGAGTGAGTTATCGTTCCCACGGAGATTGACAATTGAGTTAAATTATAAAGATCTATTGCTAAACAAATTAATAAAGAGACTGGCTAAAACGCAAATGATATTCAATTATCGACTACGTAATTCAAAGAAACAAACAGTATTAAACTATGAGTAATGTGAATTCAGAGCACTCTAAGCTTATAAGATACGATAATAAGGGTAAAAATTAGCTAGGATTTAGAATCCCCCTAAGATGCAGATCCGCTCGTGTTGCTGCTTAATGCTGTAGCAAAACTTTCATTCCGTCAACCTGGATTTCACACGTTAATCACAATAATCTTCCCAGATTACTTGTGTTTAGGTTTCTCAATTAGATCTAACATATTCCTATGCAAAATCTGATTTCAAAACATCATTTAATGCACCAATTTCCAGCAGTTATACAAGGTAACAATATATTCCGATACTGTGACAAATCAAGCAAATTCCAATGAGATTTCCTGATCTTGCATCATCCAAGTTAGATCCACTAGATTTATCTTTTTCCAAAGTTAAATCCAATTAATAACTACAAATTAATTTCCATCAATGAGTAGTAAATACGAGAGATACACTTGAATGAACGAAATTAAAAATGTCACTTAACATCAAACATTAACTAAGCATCATCACAACTCAGGGTTCATCATAATCCCAGCTATAGCAAATTAGCTCATGTTTACAAATGCAGAACTAAAAGAAATATCAAAAACCATAATATCCAACATATCAAATTAAAAATGAAGTTACAGATTTAGAAAAGGGAAGGATGGAAGATAAACGTGGAGGGGATTCCTCCACTCTCAGCTCGTCCTTGTTGCCTTTTCTCAAAGCTGCTTCCATTTCCTCCTCTGTACTCTCTCGGCTGTCCTCTGGTAAAAAATGTGCTAAAAAATCTCTCCTCTGTCCTTCTCTCCGTGTCGGCCATTAGCTCTTCATTATTTTCTATATATATGCCAGCCTCATTGGACCACGTCCTTTCATTCGCTCAGCTAGGGTACGCAAATGGGGCTCTCAGCCACGGGCACGTGTCAGCTGCTAAGGATTTCTCCCATGATTATGCCATCTCAGCCATCCAGGTACAGCTCCTCAAAATAAGTGGAGAATGCCAGCTGTACAATTCCAGCTTTTTAAGATTTGGCCAAAATGAGCTGCTGTAGCATTCCATTGTAAAGTTGTCCCGTCGTTTACAGCTTTTACCCATAACAAATTTAAGTTTAGAAATGATTAAGGTAACTCTATTTTCATAGAGTTATCATGGGGTCAATGTTCAGGTAATGGCACATGACCTCCGAGTCGATCCCCTACAGGCGAAGACATCCAGGTTTTTCTTAAGGAAGCCCTCGACCTCAACTCTAAGTGATGGGGTTAGGTCTGAGCCTACTTTTAGTATTTTGGTTGGTTCGCCCTCGTCGACTTGGACCTCTACCAACTCCTCGACGGGTTGAGACCATGTGACCTCCACTTGGATCCTGGGATCTATGTCTTCGACGGTGCTTTGATAAACCATCCTGGTCTCCTGCCTTCCTGGTTGGTCATATCCGCGCAGGGCATCGGAGTATGTAACCCTTGCCTCGTACTGGTTGCTCTTCATTTCGCCCACGCCATTTGGGGTAGGGAATTTGACTTTTTGGTGGTAAATGGAGGTGATTGCCCTCAGCGCCTGGAGGGTTGGTCTTCCAATCACAGCATTGTACTGGGAGCCTCCCTTTATTACCATAAAATTAGCCATTGTGGTGGCCTGTCGAGGTTTCTCCCCCGCTGTTATGGGCAGCCAGATTGTCCCTTGAGGGATGACGGAGTCCCTCGTAAAGCCTTACAACGGCCTGGAGGTCTTTTCTAGCTGCTCCTTTGGAATCCCCATCTTTTCCAGGCAGTCGGAGTATAGGAGGTCTACTGAGCTCCCGTTGTCCACTAGGATCCGGCACACAGTATGGTTCCCGATCATAGCTTCTATCACCAACGCGTCGTTGTGGGGGAAGTGGACTTCGCTGGCGTCGTCCTCGTTAAACGCTACATCAGTGATGCTGAATATTGGTGTTTTTGCGGCGGAGACACTCCAGAACCTTTCCTGGTAAACCCCTCTGGCCTCGTGGACGTAGTCCTTCTGAGATATCCTTGAGTCTCCTCCTATATAAAGGCCGCCGAGGACAGTTCGTATGACGCCGGCGGGTTCTCGGTCCTCTGGGCGCTGGTTATCGTCTCGGCGTCGACTGTCATTCTGGCCGCCGTGGCCATCGTTTCTAGGTATTCGCTCGGCTTTGAACTCCTGCAGCCTCCCATCGCGGATTACTCTCTCGATCTCATCCTTAAGATCGGCGTAATCGTTGGTGTGGTGGCCGACGTCGCCGTGGAACCTGCAGTATTTTTTCTGGTTCCTTCAGCTGGGGTCTGACCTTATTGGCTCTGGGCGGTGCAATAGATTCCCGCGGCCGACCTGATTGAACACTTCTTCGGCTCCTACTGTTAATTCATGGTAGGAATCATACCTTTAAAACGGTCGAGGCTTACGGTTCTTCTCTTGCCTCGGCTTCTTGGTTTCTGGAGTGTTCAACGTCGAAGCGGGCTGCTTGTCCCCGCTTCCTCCACCTCGTCACTTTTTTCCATCATGCTTTGCTGGCATCGACCCTTGTTCGGTCCCCTTGTTCTTATTGGACCTGTGCTCAAGGTCATTCGCATCTGCTTCCTCGGCGTTTATGTAGCCTTGCGCTCGTGCAAGGATTTCCTTATAGCTGGACGGGGGTTTTCGGTTCAGCTCTCTCTTGAAGGGGGTAATTTTCTTCATGCTAGACAATGCCCCCATCAAGGCCTCCCGGTCGGTTATGTCCATCGTGGCGGTGACAACTTCCCCATATCTTGTAAGCCACTCCCTCAACGACTCGTTTGGCTTCTGGTATATCGTCGTCAGATTCTGCTTTGGGGGGACATATTTTTTAACCCCTATGAACTAGAGGGAAAACGCTTCTTTCAACTTATCCCAGCTTGAAATAGTGTTTGGCTTCAGCGTCCGAAACCATCTTCGGGCAGAATCCGTTAAATGGTTCCAAAAGGCTCGGCACATAATCTCCTCGGCATACCCATGTAAGAGCATGTGCCCTGCGTACATCTCTAAGTGATCGTCGGGATCCCCTCGACCGTCATATGGTGGGATCGACGGCGACCTGTATTTTTCGGGAAGAGGTGGCGCCATTATTTCTGCGATAAATGGATGGTCGTGCGTGTGGCTAGGCGTGATGTCGACGTTTACCACCTCAGCCACTCGCCCTATGTTCTTTTTTAGGCCGGCGACGTCGCCCGTGAGTTTTTGCTCTAGGTTGGCCATATGTTCCATAATGGCACGCGCTTCTTCTGTCGAGATGGCTGAGCCAGCTACTCTCGACACCTTTGCCCTTTGGACGTTAGGTCCGCCCATTGCCTAGTACCTCAGGGTTCCCCAGACCTCTCGCTATCTGGTCCTCGGGAGCCCGGAGCCCGACGGCTGCCAGAGGATTGGGAAGGTCGAGGCCTAGGATGGCCTCTATCGTTTTCGCTGTCCCCGATTCCTTCTAGGTCATGTTGGCGGTCACTGGGGTTGTGGTTTTCAGCCATGGTAGCTCCCGGCAGCCTCGGGGTGTCTTCTAGAGGCGACATAGAGTTCCTTCTGTCCAAGCGCTCGACTACGACCATTAGTTCACGTACCAGGTCGGTTAGAGTGGTTAGTTGGGCCTGCATCTGTACAGGGTCCGGCCGCGGCACGTCTGGGGGTGAGACTTCATTTCTGACTAGAGGTGGACCCTCCTCCATCCTGTCATTCACCGGATGTGTGGCGGTTTCGTCCATTTGGCAGCCTTGGTTGATGGCCTCAATCCTTCTTCTTAGAGGCATGCTTGCTGACTATGTTGTTGTTGGGGGTCAAACGCATGAACCAGAGATTCTGGGCTAGGTCCCCAGCGGAGTCGCCAATTGTTGATGGTGAAAACTCGTCAATAGAAATAGGCTGGGTCACCTCTAGGTATCCCGTTGGATTACCGGCTTGATATTGATTGTATACTCAGTTTATGGAGTAAAGTGTTTGTGGTATTTTTTGAGTGGTGAGCAATATAAGAAGAATATGCTTAAAGTAGACGAACACACGAAATTTATAGTGGTTCACTCTGTTAATCAAGAGCTACATCCACTATACTTTTATATTCTTTTTAAGATTGTTACAATTTACATCAATTGTTGCTCTCTCGTTCTTTTCTCTCAGGAAAAACCAACTTCTTTCCTGTATGAGGCTTCACCCCTTTTATAGCCGAGCTTCCTTCGTCGGGTGGGTTTCCTTTGTAGGCAGAAGCACTCAAGTGGTCTGCCTTTCTAGGCCCAGACCGTAGCCCACTAATCATTTTTGTGAACTGTTCACTCAGCCAACTAGTCTCCTATTACGGCTCTGTGTGTACCTGTAACCCTTTTATGTCCCCTGTAGGGCGGTTTAAGGGTTTACAATTAATGCATGTACTGCAGACATCTCCCATTTCTGCACGCAACTTGCGATGTCAGGCTTTCCCCTCTTGGAGCATTCCTCTCACCGTCTCTATTTGCTCAGCCTAATTGTCTTTCTTGGCAACTGATTTCCTCCCGAAGGATTCCCGTCGTAAGGTTGACGGTACGACCTGTCGTCATCATGAGGAGTCGGCGTCCAAAGTTGGGCTTCCTCTGCAGCAGAAGGAAATGGAGTCCCCACCGTCAAGGGTTGTTGCCTTTTGAGGGAAAGTAAGGCCACGTGTCACACTGTTATTTTTCCACGCGTCATCCACATTTTCTCATACAACAACTATTAAAAGTTAACAGCGGGGGATTCTATGAAACAAAAGAAATACAATTTAGAATGTAATATTTCCTTATCAATAAAAGGAAAAAAAAAAGGAAGCATTTTCGGAAAATAATTGTAACAAATAATATACTTTGGAACTAGTTATAGCCAATAACATGTGATATACCGTATTGAAGGGGAAAAAAGATGAAAGCTACAGCAAATGACATTCATTAGAAACATGCTAAAGGAAATAGAAACGACGACCCGACACAATTATGAAGAGGAGAAAGGCAATGGAGATGTTTCAAGAAATTTTAAATTTCGCGTGTAAAATACAACGTTAGTTTTTGGGGTTTTTAGCACATTTGTCTTCTAAATTTGTTATAATTTAATAAATTACTTCTTAAATTTTTAATTTTAGTAAATTATCCTATCAACTTATAAAGTTATTGCAATACGTCTCATTTTGACGATAATTATGTTAAATTAGTATCAGAAAAAACACGTTTAACAAAAAATTTTGACATATCAATTCAAATATAACATAAATATTTCAGATTTTTCAATTTTTAATCCCTTAAATCTAATAAAAGATTTTAACAAATTTAATAAAATGTGACACATCATAATAAATTTACAAGTTTGGGGGTTGATTGTCAAAATTAAAAGTTTGAGAGATAATTCGCCAAATTATGACAAATTCGAAAACAATTGTGTTAAAAAACGTAATTTTTTCTCCTCTTAAAATGCGTTATTTCCCTCGTCTTCATGGAGTTGGAATTCTAAAAAAAAAAGAATTACTAAACTTACCTTTAAGAACATTTCAGTTTAGATTTTTACTCTTATTCTTATTTACTATCCCTTTAATTAATATAATTATTTGATTTAGACAATGAGTAAAATTTTATACTTACGCATTTTTGTCCCCTTTTCCCATTCTAATGGGTTTGTTCTTCCGGAAATAATAGAAAATATGTCAATATAAAAAGTTTAAGGAAGTATATAGGTCAATTTTTAGTTATAAAAATTATAGACCATAACTTGTCAAGTTATGGTTTATAACCAGATAAGTTATGGATAAATTTGTCAAGTTATGGTTCATAACCAGACAAGTTATGGACAAAAACTGTGATTTATAGACAATAACTTGTCAAGTTATGATTCATAACCAAATAAATTATAAATAAAAATAATAATTTAACTTATTTATTAACTTATATAAATTATTAACTTATTAATTTTAATTTATCTCAAATTTTAACCTATTTCTCTATTTCTCTTTGTTCCTCTCTAAAAGCCCAACTAATGTCAGAGCCTAAACAGAAATGGGCTCAAGCCCGCTAGGTTCTTGCCGCGAAGTAAGGAACGTGAGTTGGAGCGGAGAAAACGAAAACACCCAATTGGTCAAAACAACAACCGAGGCGCCAAAAATCCACGACCTAATCATATCCAATTGTTTTTTTTTTCTCCCTTCTTAGAGGAAACAGGAATCAGGGAGAGGATAAGAAAACAACCATTATTTTTCACTTGCCTACAGCAAGTAAAAGCTTCAGCTGAAATCAATGGCGGCAGTGGTAGCAATGAGCAACTGCAGCTTCTCTGTGCTCACCTCCACCGTAAAGCTCCGCTGCTCCGTCTCCGCACGACGGCGCTTCACCACGTTGCGAGGTTCGGTTCGTTCGGTCGCTCCCAAAGCCGCCGATCAGAGGAAGCGAGTTTCGCATTCGAGAAAAGGCTCGTTGTCGTCGTCTTCGTCTGATAAATCCAACAGAGAGGTAAAGAAACAAACCCTAGCTTCTGAGTTGAGTTCCGAAGGTTCGAAAATGGCAAATGTTTTTGACGATGTTTACTTTTTGTTTTTTGCTTGGTTTTTTGGTTGATAAATGAAGAGAGATTTTGTTAGTGAAAAGGAATTTCGAAGTAAATCGAAGGATGAAAGTGCTTACCTATACGCGAATGGATGTAAAGGCGGAGGAGATATCAGAAAACCTCAAACGACGGCGTATAAACCGTTTGGAATGCAAAGGAAGGAAAAGAGAGAGTTTATGTCGGATTCTAAGGAGCAACAGGTAATGATGTTTCTCAAGAAATCTGTGTATTTATGTATAATTTTTAAAACATAATTGTTTTAGCGATTAATAATGAATTTCAGGTTGAGCCGGGAAATTTTCAAGATGCAGCTTTTCTGAATGCTGTTGTTAAGGTAAAAATTTATTATCTGAATTTCCACGGCAACATTTTCACTCTGTATTGATTCGAAGAGCCATTTTGATCTTCCAAGATTTACTGAGGATGTTAAACTTACTGTTCACCAGGTTTAGAAGTGACTTTAGACTTAAAAATTTCTGTTTTGTGAACCTTGGTGTACATTTTGTTTACTGATAATGTAGAATCTTGTTGAAGCAGCACCTATGTCTAAGCTCCTTTTGATGCATAAATGTGAAAAAGAAATTTAGAACATTTTTTTGGACTATTTTTTAGTGAAAATTGTTTGGTAGTTGCAGAGCACTTTTTGAACCGTCGTGTATTAAGATTCGATGGTTCATAAACATGCCCTTTACCGTAGAATGCTCCAGTTAGTTAATTTTCTCATGTCTTTGACAAACCTTTAGGTTTACTGCACACATACAGCACCTGACTATTCTCTTCCTTGGCAAAAGCAAAGACAATATACGAGTACCGGAAGGCAAGTTTGTAGAATCCCCTGTGAACTATACTAATCGTGAAATATTACTTTTTCTCCAGAGGAGAATATCAACTATATGTCTCTTGATGCAGTGCTTTTATGATTGGAGATGGGAAGCTTTTGACAAACGCACATTGTGTTGAGCATGAAACACAGGTAACTTATTAGGTAACTTATCATGTTGACAAACGCACATTGTGTTGAGCATAAACACAGGTAACTTATTATGTTAATAAAGTTTCTGCATAGTTGAGCGAAAAATGAAAACATATAGAAAAAAGGTCACTGAATTGATTTGTCTTATCATGCTCTTAACTTAATTGAGAGTCTTTCTTATATTTTAGCTAAGGAGGGAGTCTTTTCTTCTATCTTTTTACTTTTTACTTTGTACTTTTTTATCTTTAGGGATAGTGGCCAAATATTTCTTTGCAATTTATTACACATCCATCTTCACGAATCTCGATTGACAATATCAGATTCAGTGATGTGTTGCCTTGTTGTCAAGAAATTGCGAGTGTCATTTATTCTCAATTTTTATGGTTCGCCATGTGCGTGATTAGCAAATCCAATTGCTAAATCCAGTTTGTGTTTTAGAAAAATTGAAAAACAACATATCATAAGTGTTCCAAAAGAACTATACAAAGAAAAGGTGTACCAAAAGCAATTGTTTTTTACCTCCTTTTGGAATGGTTTCAGGTTAAGGTGAAGAGAAGGGGAGATGATACCAAATATGTTGCCAAGGTATATTTCCTCAACTGAATTACTTATTTACACTCTTCTGTGATTCTCTTATCCGACTGATCAGTTGGAACTTTAAAAAAGTTAAACATAGGTGCTGCAAGTCTAATGATGATGAGTATCACTGAGATGTATATGCAAATTTGAATGAGTTTTGGTGGTTCAATAATTGAGCACAACTTATTTCAAAGCAGTAGCAGGTTGTAGACATTGAAAAAAAAAAAAATTCTAAGGCTCTCTTAGTTTTTTCTTTCTTTTCTTTTTTTCTTTGAAAGTCGTTTACTTAAATTGGTAATTTCTTAAATATTGTTGTTTCAGCAGTGCATCTTATTTTCCCATCAATGAACTAACTGCAGGTTTTAGCCAGAGGTGTTGATTGTGATATTGCTTTGCTGTCAGTAGAAAGCAAGGGATTCTGGGAAGGAGTTGAACCACTCAATCTTGGACGTTTGCCACATCTTCAGGTTTTCTTGGTTTTCAGGATTTCTTGGTTTTAAGAATGGATTGAGAGAATTTTCTTATTATTCTCATTATTCAGTAGAGCTAACAAATACACGACAATATATAGGAAGAGGAAGGCAACAACCCTGCCAGCTCAATTCCTATAATTAGGGCAAAATAAAAAAGCAATCAAATAAAATAGAAAATAAGTTAACAAATCAATCCTATAATTAAGCCCTGTAAATATTTTGCCTAAGACTAAATCAGGAAACAGATTCTTGCGAATTTGCCCCCAAGAAGATAGTTGTAATTCCACACTGCCCCTAAGAAGACAGCTGTAATTCCACACTGCCCCCAAGAAGACAGCTGTAATTCCACACTCCCCCTCAAGTTGGGTAATAGATGTTAATCATACCCAGCTTGGAACTTAGATCTTCAAAAATAGCTCTTGGAAGGGCCTTCGTGAGGATATCTGCAATCTGATTTCTAGTAGGTGTGTAAACAAAGGTGATGATGTCAGCCTCAATTTTTTCTTTGATGAAGTGGTGATCTATCTCGACATGTTTAGTCCGATCATGATGAACAAGATCCTTAGCAATGCTGATAGCTGCTTGATTGTCACAAAACATCTATAGGGGTCCTTCATTTGAGAATCTTAACTCTTCAAGTAGTTTCCTCAACCACATTCCTTCACAGATTCCAAGAGCCATTGCCCTAAATTCAGCTTCAGCACTGCTCCGAGACACAACTGATTGTTTCTTGCTTTGCCAGGTGACCAAATTTCCCCAGACATATGTGCAATAACCGGTGGTGGATCTCCTATCTGTGATAGAACCAGCCCAATCAGAATCAGTGAAGATCTTAACCTCTCTACTCTCCACCCTTTTGAAGAATAAGCCTTTCCCGGGGTTTTTCTTTAGGTATCTTAGGATTCGATATACTGCCTCTAGATGTTCTTCAGTCGGTTGTTCATAAATTGGCTGGCAACGCTAATTGAGAAACTAATGTCAGGTCTTGTGTGAGAGAGATATATCAGTTTTCCTACTAAGCGTTGATATCTGCCTTTGTCAACTGATGTACTTTCTTTTCCTACTCCCAATTTTTTATTTGAGTCCATGGGAGGGTTTGAAGGCTTACATCCAAGCATGTTGGTTTCTTTGAGGAGGTCTAGGACATACTTGTGTTGAGAAACCAAGATGCCTTTTCTGGACCGCGCAACTTCCATCCCAAGGAAGTACCTAAGATACCCCAAATCTTTTAGTTCGAATTCTTGAGCTAGGAGTTGCTTGAGAGCCTTTATTTCTTCTTCATGATCTCCCGTAAGTACAATATCATCAACATAGACAATAAGAATGGACCTTTTCCCTTCAGAAGATTGTTTGATGAAGAGAGTATGATCGGATTGACATTGAGTGTAGCCATATTTCTTCACAGCTCTCGTGAATCTATCGAACAAAGCTCTAAGAGATTGTTTGAGACCATATAGGGATTTTTTGAGTTTACACATCTTGTCTGTATTCTGTTTAGTCTCAAAACCAGGGGGAATTTCCATGTACACTTCTTCTTCCAAATCACCGTTGAGGAAGGCATTTTTTATGTCAAGTTGGTGAAGAGGCCAATCAAGGTTTGTTGCAAGAGATAACAAGACTCGAATGGTGTTGAGCTTTGCAACAGGGGCAAACGTTTCTTGGTAGTCAATCCCATAAGACTGAGTAAACCCCTTCGCTACCAACCGAGCTTTGAATCGATCTATGCTTCCATCTGCTTTATGTTTGATGGTGAAAATCCACTTACATCCAACCGGTCTCATTCCTCTGGGTAGTTCTGATAGTTCCCAAGTTTCGTTTTTCTCAAGTGCCCCAATTTCCTCCTCAACTGCTATTCTCCATCTTGGTTGTTTTAGTGCTTCATGAATGTTGCTTGGAATTTCAGTCGTCGCAAGTTTAGTAATAAAGGCACGATACATGGGAGACAGACCTTCATAAGAGACAAATTTAGAGATCGGATGTTGGGTACAAGACCTCACACCCTTCCTTAATGAAATAGGCTAGCCAAGATCATTAAAAGGAACCTCATGAGATTCATTAGAGTTACTAGGACTTGGTTCAGATTCTTGGGTCTGCATAGGTTGTGTATGCGGCTCTGCTTTCGAGTGTGAAGGTGAAGGAGGGACACTTCAGTTGGATATGGGACTCGGAATGTTTTGGGAGCTTAGATGTGGTCTTATTGCAAGTGAGACATGTTCAGGAATTGGAGAATCGGAAGGACTTATTTGGAAATTCTGAGGAACTCAAGGGAGTAGAATGAATGATGTGACTTGGACTTGACAAATTTTCTTAAGGACTTGACAAATTTTCCCAAAAATGATATTCTTCTTGTTTGGACTCATTCTCCCCCTAAATATTGGTTTTGGGGTAATATGACTAATTTTCAAGAAAAGTCACATCCATAGAAGTGAAGAAGCGTCTTTTTCCTGGGGAATAGCACTTGTAACCCATTTGTGTGGGAGAATATCCTAGGAAAAGACATTTTTCTGACTTGGGATCCAGTTTACTTCTTTGGGATGGACTAATATGGACAAAAGCTGAGCACCCAAAAACTTTCAAAGGAAGGGTGGAAATAAGTCGGGAGTTGGGAAAATATTCAAGGAGCACCTAATAAGGAGTTTTGAAGCCAAGAACCCGTGAAGGCATACGATTGATAAGGTAGGTTGATGTGAGAATGGCTTCTCCCAAAAAATGTTTAGGAACGTGTGTGGTAAAAAGTAGGGATCTAGCAACTTCTAACAGGTGTCTATTTTTCCTTTCTGCCACTCCGTTTTGTTGGGGTGTATCAACACAGGAGCTTTGATGAACAATTCCAAGACTTAAAAGGTAATCCCCAAGATAGGTAGCAAAATATTCTTTAGCATTATCAGTTCGAAAAATCTGAATTTTGCTATTAAATTGGGTTTGAATCATTGTGTTGAAGTTTTGAAATATTTTCCCAACCTCAGACTTTTCTTTCATTAGAAAAAGCCAAGTAGCTTGAGTATGATCGTCCACAAATATAACAAACCACCTAGAACCTGTTATATTTTTAATTCTAGATGGTCCCCACATATCACTATGAATCGTGGCAAAAGGTTGTGAAGATTTGTATGGAATACCAGGGTATGAGGTGCGAACATGCTTAGACAATTGACACACCTCACATTGAAATAACGTAGGATTTTTATTGCCAAAAAAAGATGGAAAGAGTTTAGCAAGATACATGAAATTAGGATGTCCAAGACGATAGTGCCACAACATTATTTCACTATCTTTATTTTGACTAACATGGAAAGTAGATAAAGTTGTAGTAGATACACGGTTTGCTGAATGAGTTTGTCCTCCATTGCATCCTTCAACCTCTAGAAAATAGAGCCCCGTACACATCCTAGCATTGCCAATCATCCTCCTCGAATCCAAGTCCTGAAAAATACATAAGTGGGAGGAAAATTTAGTGATACAGTTTAAGTCTCGGGTGAGTTTACTTATAGAAAGTAAGTTACAATCAAGGTTTGGAACCAAGAGTACTGTATCAAGAACTAAATCTCTGGAGATGATTGCTGTGCCTATCCCTGTCACTTTTGAAAGAGTCCCATCGGCAATCCGGATAGAGACATTGTGGGAACAAGGAGAATAGCTATGAAGTATACTGGCATTCCCAGTCATATGGTCTGAAGCTCCTGAGTTAATAATCCAAGAACACGGTTTTTCTTGTTTCACAGTTAAGGCGTTGAGAAAATTCCTTTCTTGGTGGAGCCTGAGTGATCATCCTTTGAAGGACTTCCAATTGTTATTTGCTGAACGGATTGTTCTCTGGTAGGAATGATAGCAGCATTTCCTCGGCTTTGATAATTTTCTTGGGCTCGGGAACTCGATTTCCAGTTAGCTGACTTGCCGTGTATCTTCCAGCATGTATCCTTTGTATGGCCTATTTTGTGACAGTGATCACACCATGGTCTTCCTTGTCTCCTTTGCCGATTGTCATGTGGCTGATATTGTGATCCCCGAGCCGCAAAGGCAGAGCTTTCAGTTGCTGGTTGTTGGTTTTGTGATCCCATCATATTTCTTTCTACTTTCTTCACGGCGGACTTCAAAGAAGGCTTCCCGAATGTTGGGAAGAGGTTTTGTTCCTAAAATTATGCCCCTAACTTTATCAAGATTCTTATTAAGTCCTAATAGAAACTTGTATACACGCTTCCTCTTGACAATCTTTTTGTATTTGGCTCCATCTGTTGGGCAGTCCCACTCATCTGTTTCAAACATATCCAGTTGCTGCCACTAACGAGTGAGAAGGTTGAAATATTGAGTGACTGAGAGATCTTCCTGACGTAAATCATGAAGAAAACCTTCAACTTCAAATAGCTCTGCTATATTTTCATTGTCTGACGTCTCCCTCACAGCATCCCAGATTTCTTTCGCTGTTTTGTAAAGGAGAAAATTCTCTCCTATGTCATTATTCATTGAATTTATCAACCATGACATGACCATGTTGTTCTCTGCCTTCCATTTTTTGAATGTTGCATCTTCTTTGGCTGGAGCTGTCACAGCATCAGTGAGATAATCATCCTTCCCCTTTCCGCATATGAACATCATCACGGATTGGGACCATTGGAGAAAATTTTTCCCATTTAATTTATGACCGGTAATGGGAAGATGAGAGTTGTCCGTTCCTTCATGACTGTTCTGAATCACAGTTTCTTGATTGGAAACGACAGCAGAGATTTCTTTTCCGGTAGCCATTCTAGTGGTTGGGCCATGTTTTGGCATAAGGAAAGGATCTGATTCTGGGTTCAGCGCCATAGATAAGAGCAGGGTCAAGAAAGGATTGGCTCTGATACCATCTTGGTTTTAAGAATGGATTGAGAGAATTTTCTTATTATTCTCATTATTCAGTAGAACTAACAAATACATGACAATATATAGGCAGAGGAAGGCAACAACCCTGCCAGCTCAATTCCTATAATTAGGGCAAAATAAAAAAGCAATCAAATAAAATAGAAAATAAGTTAACAAATCAATCCTATAATTAAGCCCTGTAAATATTCTGCCTAAGACTAAATCTAGAAACAGATTCTTGCGAATCTGCCCCCAAGAAGACAGCTGTAATTCCACACTGCCCCCAAGAAGATAGCTGTAATTCCACACTGCCCCCAAGAAGATAGCTGTGGAATTGTTAGTTTACCAATCCATCCCAAAAGCTTAAGCTGTTAGGAGGTGGGCCAACAATAGTTTAATACTTTAACACTCCCCCTCACGTGTGGGTTGGACAATGGGCAATCGTGTGGGTAAATTAATTGGAAAGCCCAACACGTGAATATTAAGCCTGAGATATATTAAAGACCCAACACATGATGACAATTTAAATGGGGATAAAGAGTGTAATTACGGGGGTTCGAACTCAGGATCTCCCGCTCTGATACCATGTTAGTTTACCAATCAATCCCAAAAGCTTGAGCTGTTAGGAGGTGGGCCAACAATAGTTTAATACTTTAACATCTTGCGAATCTGCCTCCAAAAAGACAGCTGTAATTCCACACTCACCCTCAAGTTGGGTAATAGATGTTAATCATACCCAGCTTGGAACTTAGATCTTCAAAAATAGCTCTTGGAAGGGTTTGCCACATCTTCAGTTTTAAATTAGCCCTTTTCCTTGGTGGATTGAATCATTTATAATTATATGATTGAACAGTTTTCTCAAATGCAGGAATGAAAAGGAATTAGTTAGGACTTAGAAGATAGTTATAGGGATTTAGACAATGAATATCGAATCAGCTATCCATTGGCCAGTGCATCACTTGCGTGAAATAAACTCTGTTCCACTCTCTTAATGCAGGATTCAGTAACTGTCGTAGGATATCCCCTTGGAGGAGACACTATTTCAGTAACAAAGGGTGTTGTATCACGTATAGAGGTACAGTCTCCTATTTGAATGCAATCTTATCATGCCACTGACATATGTACTCATTTGCATTTGATTCTACCATAATCAATCAATTTGACGGCCTCTTAACATTTTTTGTGTTGGCATGCGGCGTGACTGATATACAGTTTCTCTAATGATATTGTATTTGTATGGTCAGGTCACTTCATATGCCCACGGATCATCTGACTTGTTGGGCATTCAAATTGACGCGGCAATAAACCCTGGTTTGTTTTCTACTTGCACAATATTATCCGTTTTTCCATTATTACATTGTCCATTTAGTGACATTCCTTCCAGAAATAGTCAGTTTCCTTGATATTTCAAACCTTTTTTTATTTTTTTGTCCCTTGAGTTATAGCTTATACTTATAGATTTCAGGTAATAGTGGGGGTCCTGCATTCAATGACCAAGGGGAGTGCATCGGCGTGGCGTTTCAGGTAAACTTTCTGGCATGTTGTGTAAGTTTATATATAATGTCCGATTTTCCTTTTTTCTTGTTTTTTAGGCATTTCTATTGGCTGTCTTAGAGAGATTGCAATATTGATTTCAGACGGAATAGGATTCTTCATTTCTTGCTTTTGTGATGACAGTATTAATGTCTCTTATTTTCTTGTCCTTCACAATATTATTTGTTTACAAGACACTTCCTCTAGGTCTACAGATCTGAAGAGGCTGAGAATATTGGTTATGTGATTCCAACTACAGTTGTGTCGCATTTTTTGAATGATTATGAGAGGAACAAGAAGTACACAGGTGAGAATTTATTCTAATTTCATCTGCGTAAGGGGTTTGCTTATTTGGATTTAGAGGGTGTTGAACTTCACAAAAAAGAATAGTTAATGGATTATATGCTTCATGGATGATTACAATTATACCATAGTATTTATACATTACATACTCTGACTTCCAGGTTTTCCTTGTCTTGGCGTATTGTTGCAAAAGTTGGAGAATCCAGCACTACGTGAATGCTTAAAAGTAAAGTCTAGTGAGGTATGTGTCTATGTATGAAGCATTCAGTCATGCTTAAGAGTACAGTCCAGTTTTAAAGATTGATCTGAACATGAAACTATCGAAGAATTAATTCATACGCAGTCAGTGCTTGGATCACTGATTCTAAAGATGTCAACTGTTTGTATAAATGGTCTGAAAAAAAAAAAAACCACGAGTTATGCATGGTATTTTTGCTATTTTTTATCCACCACAATTATTATGAGTTCAAATTTGATAAATCCTGCTTATTGTCATCTGAATCAAAGTGCTTATTTGCAAAGCACATAATTTCCTTGGTTTTTAACTTCATCGCGAATTGTGCAGGGTGTCTTGGTGCGTAGAATCGAACCCACTTCCGATGTGCATAATGTCTTAAAGAAGGTATGTTGACCCATTTTTAACGTGTAAGATCTTTTTGTACTTACTTTCACCTGGGTTGTTCGGTGATTGGTTTTAGTGGTTTGCAAAAATCACAAATCATAGTTCTAGTTTGAACTTCCTTTCTTTGAAACTCTCTAGAAAAGTGCTGGAGATTTTCTAGGCCAGTAACATGGTAGAGCTTGTTCTTTTTCCAGGGGGACGTGATTGTAAGCTTTGATGATGTTCATGTAGGGTGTGAAGGAACAGTGCCATTCCGGTCGAATGAGCGTATTGCATTCCGATATCTTATAAGTCAAAAGTAATGTATTGTGATATCTGTATTTGTTTAGAAAGCCAAGGATATTTTATCATTGTGTTTTACTGAATTAAGAGACACTAAGAACATTATATTTCCGCTGGCTAACCTTCGCTATGGTTTTTATGCATCTAAGCAACTACAATATCGCACGGGTTTTTGAGTCGCCTCTTCCTTTTAACCAGCCCCATTTTTGTTAATTTGAATGATTATCAGGATGGTTTTATTTCTTTTGTGATTTTGAGTCTTTAATTTGATGTTTCAGCCAAGCATTTTTTTTCCTCTTTTTTTGCCTGGAAGCAAAGGAAAAATTATATTAGCAATTTCTAGTCCCTGCAGTCTAGTTCTGCTGTCTTACCCTGTTAGGATCCGTTAACTTGGGAACTTGTTTGATTAGTGGGCTGGTAGAGTTAGTAGGAATTAGTATAAATAAAGGGCTGAGTAGCTCACTTGAGGTAGGTTGTGATTTTGAGAGTTTTGAGAGACTGAGATTAAAGAGAGCGGTGGTCTCTCGAATACCACCAAATTAGGTCCCCGGAGTACTCGAATTCTCCGTTCTATCCTTTACTTTTCTGTTTAGTAGTGTTTGGTAGTGTAATTGGAGATTGGCTAGTGGTTTTCAATAAAAGAATTCCCTTATTTCTATCCAATTCCTTGTCAATTTGAGGATTGATATGGTATGTTTGGCTGTGGAAAACCTAGGTTCCTAACAATTTGGTATCAGAGCTCTGATCCATGGCGCCTAAACCAGCGGATTCGGAGAGGGTGACCACGGTGGAAAAGGGGTTGGCGGTGGTTTAGGAAGCGGTCCATGCGGTGGTGATTGAGAATATTCTGCAGATTCGAGAAGTGGCTGGGCTGCGTGGTGAACTGGGGGAGGTTTGGACTCAGATGGAAGACGTGCAGGCGATGCTGCGGAGGATGGAGGCACTGTTGGTGGCGCAGCCGATGGCCGGGGTGGCCAATTTGGGTCGCGACGGCGAGCGACGGGACGGGGAGAGGCGAGATCGCGCGCCTCGGGGAGAGGAGAGCCCATATCGCGACAACCAAGGCAGAATGGAGGTGCCAAATCGGGCGGATCTTCGTCGGGAAGCGCCAATTCGTGAAGATCGAGGCCGCAAGAGGGAGTTTCGACGCCGGAGAGACATGGGTCTCATGGAGGAGCACGAGATCCGTCGCGATCTGGGGCTGGGTGGTCCGGATCTGTAGCGCAAAGGTTTGGTCGACGACGGGAAGAGGGCGGAAGGAGGTTGCGACCGTCGGGAGAGGGCGGCGGAGCTTGGTCGGCGACGCAAACCGGAATGGGAGCCGGAGAGGCTTGCTCCGGGGCTGGGACGACATGGGTACCCTCGGAGCAGGGCACCCAGCCCTGATTCGGTTGCAGTTGGGGCTGATTCTAGCCCGGTTTAGATCGGGCCTCGCGATTCCGGTTCGTTTGAGGCTAATTCCGGCCGAATTCGGACTGGGTCACGCGAGTTCGGCTTGATTTGGGAGGATTCCGGCGAAATTAGGGATGGGTCTCGAAATTCCGGCGGCCCTAGGTCTGGGTTTTGCGATTCTAAGGTGATTGAGACTGATTCTGATGATGTTTGGGTTGGGGCTCAAACTTACAGCAAGATTAGAGCCAATTACAGCCAAATATGGACTGGATCTTTAAGTTTTGGCATGACTGGGGCTAGGTATGGGCGACCTGAGTTGGGTGAAGGAAATTGGGTTTTTACAATCTAATTTGAGAGAGCGAGTTAGGTCTTCTCGATTTGGAGTCAAAATCAATCCAAGGGTTTCGAGTAGGGAGAGGGAAAGGTGGCACGACACCTTATGGGAGGGCCGAACGGATCAACAATTTCAGCGAATGGATATGCCATTTTTCGTCGGAGAAGACCCTGATGGGTGGGTCTTTAGAGCTGAACGATATTGTTTGTTCTATCGAATGACGAACAACGAGAAAATTCATGTTGCTGAAATGGCTATGAAAGGTGATGCTCTGGCTTGGTATCGATGGCAGGATGCTCGTTGCACGTTCTACAGTTGGAATGAATTGAAGACTCATCTCCTTAAGCATTTCAGATTGTCATCCGACGAGGCTTTACATGAGAGTTTCTTGGTGAAACGTCAAGAGGATATTATGCATGACTAGACGACAATTCAAGGTACTTGCCAAACTTGGAAAGAGATTTCAAATTTGGTTTTAGAGAGAGTTGTAATTACAAAATTGGAAGTCGATAACGAGCAAGTGGTAGGCAGTTCAAGCAAGTTGCTTCCAGCTCAAACAACAGATGTTTCAGATCAAATGGATGTTCAAGGTGACTTGACTATGAAGAATTTTGATGGCAAGGTGGACCAAGGCATTGAAAATGAAGTTGGTTTTCAATCTGGTGCTAGTAATGAGCGGCTTCAAGATATGGGAAACAAGATATCAATGATATCAAAATTTTCCAAGGATGTTAATATAGAGTCAGAGTTTGCTGCACCAGTGAAAGAAGTTAACAGTGGAGTCCATTCTTGTATTTTAAAAGATGATTTTGATTCTATTTGTAGCAATTATGGGGCTGTTGACAAAGGAATGGAGAGTGGACACTTGCAGCTGCCCTCTATTGTTGATATTCTGACAAACAACAAGGTAGCTTTCTCTGGCGTGGTGGAACATGCACTGCAGCAAGATAACGCTTGTGGGAGGAAGGTTTTTGTTATAAATGAATTGTTTGAGCTGACCAACAAGGTCTTCCATTACTACAAGGATGATTTTGAGGTTGAGCTTCATGGTTTCGTTGCCTTTAAAGTGATTCTCAATACTAGCTCCAAACAAAAGTGTGAAGTTGAAAAAATCAAGTTAACAAGAACATTTGAAGCAAGTTCTGTACGAATCACTCCGTTCGACATTCCATGATCCAAGCTCATCAAGATTGGAAGGAAGTGGAGTCACACGGCTGCGATTACTTAACACCTTGAGGACAAGGTGTTTCTTTGGGGCGGGGGTAAATGTTATGATCCGTTAACTTGGGAACTTGTTTGGTTAGTGGGCTGGTAGAGTTAGTAGGAATTAGTATAAATAAAGGGCTGAGTAGCTCACTTGAGGAAGGTTGTGATTTTGAGAGTTTTGAGAGACTGAGATTAGGGAGATGGTCTCTCGAATACCACCAAATTAGGAGTTCTCAGAGTACTCGAATTCTCCGTTCTATTCTTTACTTTTCCGTTTAGTAGTGTTTGGTAGTGTAATTGGAGATTGGCTAGTGGTTTTCAATAAAAGAATTCCTTTATTTCTATCCAATTCCTTGTCAATTTCAGGATTGATATGGGTATGTTTGGCTGCGGAAAACCTAGGTTCCTAACATACCCCCATTAACTTTAGTTAGGGTTTGGCTGTTTGGGTCAGTAGGCACACCATTTAGCCAATGTTTTGTATTACTTGTTGGTTGGATTTGCTGATTCACATTAACGAATACATTTTGTTTCCCTTCTGGTCTCTTCATATGCATTCGGCCATATGTAATTGTTTGTCATACTATCATGTGTGTGGATTTGTGATCTTTAGGCTTCAATGGGTAACATTTGGATCTTCTATACAGATTTGCAGGTGATATTGCAGAGCTTGGTATTATTAGGGCAGGGGAATTTATGAAAGTTAAAGTAGTTTTGAACCCACGAGTGCATTTGGTAAGCCAGTTCTTGGCCCATTTGAATTTTATGGAATTATGCAGGCCTCGTTCACTTTGCAGATTCGAGTTTTCAATTCGAGCTGAGATGTGACATTTTCTGAGAGTTTTTAACTGTGGCAGAAAAAGTTAGATGTGACATTTTCTGAGAGCTTTTAACTGTAGAAACTTAAAATTGAAAACTTGAATCGGTGAAATGAACAAGGCCGCAATTGAATCTTTTCAGTTTTATGGAGTTATCTAGCTCTGATTCTGTTTAGTTTGAATTCCTTATTCCAGGTTCCTTATCATATCGATGGAGGTCAGCCTTCCTACTTGATAATTGCTGGTTTGGTATTTACCCCGCTTTCAGAGCCGCTGATAGAGTATGTTACATTTGTTCTGGCACTTGGACACATATACAATGTATTGGTTAATGCATAACACTAGATTGCTCTTGCTGATTGCATGTGGACTTATGTTTCTTTCTTTCTTTTACTTGTTTGACAGAGAGGAATGCGAAGACTCTATAGGGGTATGTTCTGCGTATATGGCACAGTCTTGAGCACACATACTTCTGCTCCACTAAAATTCAAATTTTTTTAATTGTCCTTTGAAATTTACTGAGTTTATCTCTTTTCTGTTCAGTTGAAGCTATTGGCAAAGGCACGTTACTCTCTGGCTAGATTCAAAGGGGAACAAATTGTAATCTTATCCCAGGTTAGCTGATTTCATGTTTCTTTTAACAATACACATTGACATTGGGGGGTGAGATTAAATATTCCCGACTTGCAGGGGTGCCAATTAAATGCTGAATCCTGTAGGTCCTCTCTTTGAGCATGTCATCCACTTTCCATGATGCTCAATTGCTTTTCAGGACAGTGTGCTCACACTTGCATTTTCACAGTAGCTTTTTGAAATGCGCTGCAGTTCTCTGGCCTAATTTTTTCTTTAATCATTGCAATGGAAGATAGTCACATTTCATTGCATGAACTTGATTGTCAGGACCTTAACCCGAGATTTTGTCACTGTACTCAGTTTCTGCGTTTTCTTCTCTTTCTTGCTGGTAGGTCTTGGCAAATGAAGTTAACATTGGGTACGAGGATATGAGCAACCAGCAGGCAAGTTCATTTTTACACTTCTTTGACGACTTAAACATGTTCATGCCAATCATATACACATTTTCATTTGGAGTGTTAATTGCAGGTTTTGAAGTTAAATGGAACCCGGATTAAAAACATTCATCACTTGGCACACCTTGTAGATTGTAAGTGGTGTTTAACTGTTAAGCCTTTTTTTTTCTCTTTTTCCTTCAACTTTAATTCCTGTGGTTCTTGATTGTTATGTGCTTTTGCTCAGCATGCAAGGACAAGTATTTGGCCTTTGAATTTGAAGATAATTACGTAGCCGTCTTGGAGAGGGAAGCAGCTATTACTGCTTCTTCATGCATTCTTAAAGATTATGGTATTCCATCTGAAAGATCCGCTGATCTGTTGGAGCCGTTTGTGGATTCACTGGGAGACAACCAAGCATCAGATCAGGATTATGGTGATAGCCCAGTTTCAAATTTTGAAATTGGTTTTGATGGGATCATTTGGGCATAATAGTTATATCTTCCGACTTCAGAGGTTAATCTGAATTTTATCACTACTCAGTGCATGATAATAGGAGGCATATTGTTGTATCTGGTAAAAAAGGGATATCAGAGGACCTGCTTTCTCCAGGATGCCATAACAGGTAATTAAAGTTTCTCGGGGGTTTCTGTTTGGTTGGATTCTCTGATTGCTAGCTGGTGAGAACGATTTTTCAAATAGATTCTTATTGTTGAGGTGGGCAGTAATGGTATTCAGAGATTGCTGCGGTCAGCCTTTCAGATTATTCATGTATTTGAAAAATTAATTACATTTGATTAACAGGAATAAAAGAAAAAGAATCGATTCTTTTTAGGCTGCAATGTACTCTTAGCATTATGAAGTGATCAATGTTGAATGTCACCATTCTTTATGAATGGCCCTCCGTCAGAAATCCATCTAAAAATCGATGGAAAAGTATCGCATGCCATTCACATTAGGGTGGCTTTGAAATCATTCTTTGTTTTGTGGCCATTCTCTTTGTAACATGATACCAATTTTTACATTCTCGGCATCTGATCATAGTTCATACTACATGGTTTTGAGGTTTTAATCAAGTAATTAGTACATTTACGTGGGGCCAGTAGCAAGCTATACAATGACTTAGTTTGGTAGTGGTGTGGATTTAAAAAAAATATTTTTAGTTCTGTTGAAAGTAGTTGTTATAAAAAACAGTTGAGTGTTTGATAAATTATAATTATACTAGCTGTGTTGGTTTCAAAATCAGTGTAATAGCATTTGGTAAATTGTGAGGTTAAATTGTTGTGGGTAGTTAAAATGACTAAAATAGATATGGTATGAAACTTAAATATATATAATTATTTTTAGTATTTAGAAATACTTGTTTAACTTAAAAAAAACATAATGCATTTAATTATTAATAATAATTATAATTATAATTAAATTAATTAGCAACAATTATTAACAAAAATAGATTAATTAATAATAATTATTATTAATAATAAAAAACCAATTCCTTGATATAAAATGACATGAAAATTAAACAAAATTGAAAGATTAATGAAAAACACCCAAAACAAAAATAAAAACGGATCAAATTGACTAAAAATAACAAACACATAAGTAGGTACATATTCTTCCTCATCCCCAACCTTTTTCTTCTTCTTCACCATTCACTGAAAGTAAATACCAACAAATTAAACCACCATTTCTCTCTTTCAACTCCTCTTCTACTCTCTTTGAACTCTAAACTGGAAAAGCTTAGCTCTTATTCACATTTCACATTTCACAAAACCCAAAAACCATTCAAATCAAAGAAATTACATTCATTCGGCCATCGTCGTGAAGCATCCCGGAAATCTGCTCCCCATTGTGCAATCTACAATCAAAAGCATCCCATTCACTGAAAGTTTCATTAACGTGCCATAAGGGATTTTCGCACAATCTACAATCAAAAGCAGCTTTTGGGTTGCTTCTGATTTTAGCTTAAATTCTTCAAAAATTGTCCAAGAATCAAAGAAATCAAAAACAGTTTTTGGATTGCTTCTGATTTTAGCTTAAATTCTTCAAAAATTGTCCAAGAATCACTTCTTTGAGTTTTTAAAAAATACACGTGATAGCTTTAGATGGCTAAATAAGTGCTTTTGAGCTCCTAGAATCAATACAAACTAACCCAATATAAGATTACTACTAATTTTCTCTCTTTAAAAAAAAAAAAAGTATTCAACTAATTTGCTCCAAGTGATGTTACAGAAGTGACTTGATATCATTAGCTACATTTTGAGCATCCCTGTTAGCTCCAAAGAACCCTCTTCTTGATAGTCCCACAGAATATAAACCATTCTTTCCTTTCCAGTGATCGGCAAATCCATCATCATTCAATAGAGAATCATCCTGCTCAACACCAAATTATGGGCATAAATGAATAAGAAACAAGACTTCTTTTTATTTGATATTAAATCATGAGAAGTTTTACAATACAAAAAAAAAAAAAAACCCTATTATGATTATCTCCCAAAGTTATGTTATTAGATACCTAGCTCAATATCCAGCCAAACACTAATTCCACCCGCACACCACAGAGAAACAATAAGGAATTGAGAGGAAATCAGGGGAGATTTTATTAGATAATCAACTATGAACACTCGAGTACACTGAAATTGTAAAGGTAAAAGGATAGATCGGAGATTTCAAGCTCTCCGGCACTGCCTCGCCGATATCTGGCGTCAACACCTTACACACACAATACAAAATGGCTAGCTACCCCCAAAAGCCTAAGTTCCAGCACCTAATACCCCCCTGAACAGAATTGTCCACGTCAGCACTCCTAGCCACTTTCAGTATTTGCTCCCAGCCCCTTAACTCTATATTTTCTTCCCCTTTTGCCCCTCATAGTATAAACATGCTTCAGTAAGGGCCTAACAGTACCGCCCCCCCTTCAAGATCAACCTTGTCCCCAAGGTTGAAGTTGGGGAACTGTTGGTGGAGGGCGGCCAGGGGCTCTCATGTTGCCTCCTACTCCGGCAGTCCTTCCAATTGGACGAGCAAGTCCAAGTCTTGTGGCCTTCCCTCTTGAGCCCGACGAGTGCGCAAGATGGTTGCAGGCCGGACCAGAAGTTCGAGCTCCTCCGAGAGATGTGGCGGTAGAGGGTGAGCAGATGGCGTGTCTCCCCTGAATGCCTTAAGTTGGGAGACATGGAACACCGGGTGGATGCACACATCCTCCGGTAGCGTGAAACGGTAGGCCACACTTCCAATCTTTTCGGCGACCATGAAGGGGCCATAATATCGGGGTGCTAAATTCTAGTTGAGCTTCCTTGCCAATAATTTCAGCCTGTAGGGCCGCAGCTTGAGAAGGGCAAGATCTCCTGGCGTGAACTAAACGTCACGGCGGTGGGCATCTGCAAACTTTTTCATGCTTTGTTGCGCTGTCTCCAGTTGCTCTTTGAGCTCATCCAACATAGCATTTCAAAGTCGCATCTACTTGTCGACCTCACCATCCAAGGAATGGGTGTCTTGGAACCGGTATAACACCGGGGGGTCATGGCCATAGACGATGCGGAAAGGGGTATGCTTAGTGGAAGCATTGTCGGTGGTGTTGAACCAATACTCCACCCATGGAAGGAATTTCAGCCACAATTTCAGTTTCACGCAAGCGCAGCACCACAAAATAAGTCTCTAAGCAACGGTTCACCACTTTGGTTTGACCATCTGATTTAGGGTGGTAGGCGGAGCTAGTGTGCAGCTTGGTCCCTTGGAGCTTAAACAACTCACGCCAAAAGGAGCTCATGAATATGGGATCACGGTCTCTAACGATCGAGCGGGGAATCCATGAACCCGAACAACCTCTTGGGCAAATAACTCAGCCACTGATTTCGCCGAGAAGGGACGTGTAAAGGAGCAAAAATGGGCATACTTGGACAATCTATCAACCACCACAAGAATAGTATTCCAACCTTCCGACTTAAGCAGCCCACCGATGAAATCCATCGAAATATCCTCCCAAATTTGGTTCGGAACCGGGAGTGGTTGCAAGAGTCCCGCATGAGACATTGCTTCACTCTTGGTACTTTGACACGTCACACAACGGGCCACATAATCCCGAATCTCTTCCTTCATTCCGGGCCAAAACAAGTTACTTGCCACTCTTTTGTAGGTGTGGAACCCCGAATGCCCGCCCACCACTGAATCATGGAACTCATGCAACAAGCGATGAATCCAAGGAGATGATCGAGGTAAGACCACCATGTCCTTGTAAAGCAACAACCCCTCCTTCAAGCTAAACCCCTCACGTACTACTTCCCCACCTTGCAACTTGGCAATCAACCCCAAACACCACTCATCGGCTTGCTGCCCCCATCTCACATCCACCAAATCCACCAATTGTGGCACGGAAATGGCCGCTAAGTGTATGGTTTGCTCTTCTCCCCGCCTGGACAAAGCATCAGCCACCCTATTCGAGGCCCCTGGTTTAAATTGGACCTTAAAATCATAGCTTAAAAGCTTTCTAACCAAACGTAACTATTTTGGTGGAAGCATCCTTTGATCCATGAGGAACCGGAAACTTTGTTGGTCGGAGTGAACCACAAAGTGTCGGCCCAACAAGTAATGGCGCCACTTCTGAATAGCAAACGCCACCGCCATCAACTCCCGCTCATATACCGACTTCATCCGGCTTGCCTCCATGAGCGCTTTACTGAAGAAAGCAATAGGTCGGCCTTCCTGCATGAGAATCGCCCAAAGTCGAACCCCCGACGCATCTGTTTCCACTACGAATGGCTTGGTGAAATCCGGCATAGCCAACACTGGAAGTGTAGTCATGGCCCCTTTAAGGACCACCAAAACTTGCGCCGCTGAATCATCCCATTCAAAACCTCCCTTCTTGAGCAAATTGGCAAGGGGATGTGCCATTTTCCCATAATCCCTCACAAAACGTCAGTAGTAGCCGGTGAGGCCTAAGAATCCACGCACCTCTCGCACATTCTGTGACGTGGGCCAAAAAGTGATAGCTGTGACTTTGGAAGGGTCCGCTGCTACCCCCTCTTGCGAAATTATATGACGAAGGTACTCCACACTTGTCCAGCCAAAGATACACTTCTTCTTGTTGGCATAGAGCTTTTCTTTCTCCAAAATCTCCAACATCCTAGACAAATGCTCCCGATGCTCCTCCAAGTTTTTGCTATACACTAAAATATCATCAAAGAATACGAAGAAAAATCGGCGAAGGTAAGGCCGAAATACTGAGTTCATAAGTGCTTGGAATGTCGCTGGGGCATTAGTGAGGCTGAATGGCATCACCAAGAACTCATAATGGCCATCGTGCGTCCGGAAGGCCGTCTTTTCAACATCACTCTTGAGGACCCAAATTTGATGGTACCCGGCCCTCAAGTCCAACTTCGAAAACACCTGTGCCCTGTAAAGCTCATCAAGAAGTTCGTTAATCACTGGAATGAGAAACTTATCCGGGACCATCACTTAGTTCAAGGCCCGATAATCCACACAAAAATGCCAACTACCATCCTTCATTTTCACCAAGAGAACCGGACTAGAATACGGACTATAATTAGGCCGAATGATCCCCGAGGCTAACATGTATACCACTAAGCACTCAATTTCCCACTTCTGGAAATGTGGATAACGATATGGTCGAACGTTAAGGGGTTCGCCCTATCCTTCAGCACAATATGGTGATTTTGGGCTCTCTTTAGGGGCAGCCCCGCCCGTGGCCTTAAAGATCGAGCCATCGAGCGCAAGCTTGCTTGCTGGTGTGTAGCATATCGAAGGGTTTCCCATCCAATTCACCCACTCATTCCCCACCTTAAACTTCATAGTGAATCGAGACCAATCTGCCCTCACCTATCCCAACTGACATAACCAAGTCACTCCCAATACCACATCCGCACTTCCCAGCTCAAATGGGAAGAAATCCTCCACCACCTTAAAGCCCTTATTGTTTAATACACATCTCATTTTCCACCTGCACTCCACATCTAACTATTGGATCACAAGGCAACCCCAACTCCTTGACCACCGAATTTGACACAAAACTATGAGAAGTGCTACTATCCACCAACACTACTACCTCCCTCGATCCTAACCTCCCCACGAATTTCATGGTGCCAGCCGAGTTCACTCCCATTAAGGAGTTAAGAAAGAGATCAACCTTTTCTTCTGTTGGCTCTTCATCAGAGCCATTCTCTTCCTTGACCTCTCATTCCTCTTCCGTATCGTCCTCGGTTGCCAACAAAATCTGGAGTTGTTTATTAAACTTCTCATCGTAGTTAAAGCAAAGCCCTCGTACTTGGCGTTGTTGCATCTCCTTCTCCGATAGCTGGCAATATCCTCTCGTTCCCCCAACCACTGAACTAGCTGCCCCCGACGAGGACGAATGCCCCATCCCTACATCTCCCTTTTTACGACTAGAATTGGATCAAATAGAGCTCCCCAGAAATGTGGGTCGGTTAGTGGTGCTATCATTAAACAAGTCAGATTTTCCCAAACCACCAATCCGTCCGCTTTTCCACCTTCCCATCCTCTCTACCACCTCGTTCCGGTCCTCGATTTGTTGTGCGATTTCCATTACTTCTTGGAGTGTGGCCGGCTTATGCATTTTCATCTCTGCTCTAACATCTTCTCTCAACCCGTTATGGAAGACCCCTTTATAGAATGCACTTGGCATCCCCCTCACCAGAGCTGAAAGCAACTCGAATCGGTCCAAATAATTCGTAACTGAGCCAACTTGTTTCAAAGCCATCAATCTCTCCATTGGGTCGCCATCATTGGCCTTACTAAACCATTTCAAAATGGTTGCCTTTAACTCCTTTCATCCTACGAAAGGGTCTTGGGAATCCGTCCGCAGGAACCAATTCAAGGCCGGACTCTCTTTACAAATCGAAGCAGCCGCCACCTTGTCCCGCTCCGCCACCTCGCACATGTCAAAATACTATTCCGCCCAAAACAACCACCCGTATGGGTCCGCGCTAGAAAAACTCGGCATCTCAATCCTCCGTCCCCGGAATTCTCCCCTTCCTCGGTGACCCTCCGGCATCTCTTGGCGACGGACCCACGTTCCCCCATATTCCTTCTCCACGCTGCTGCCCTAGAGCCCAACCCCGCGGAGCCCCAAACAGATATGGATCGGGGCTGATTTCCCGACCCCGAAGTTGGTCACGTTGACCCAGTCTAGGTGCTGGTTTATCTTCGTCCAATTCTGGTTCCCACAAAGGAACCCGCCGCCGGCCCCACTCCGCCGCCCTCTCCTGACAGTCACGACCTCCTTCCGCCTTCATTCCTCCGTCGAACAAGCCCTCGCGCTGCAGACCCGAACCACCCAGCCCCAGATCCCGACAGAACTCGCGCTCTTTCATGAGACCCACGTCTCTCCAGCGTTCGTTCTCCCTCTCACGACCTCGACCTTCATGAATTGGCGCCACCCGACGACGATCGTGCAAGAAATCTACCTCCACTCTGCCTGGGTTGTCGCAATCAGCGATCTCTTCGCCTGGAAAATAACGGTGCTGCTGCTCCCCGTTTCGCCGCTCGCTATTGTGAACTTCGTCGGCCCTTTTTGATACCGACCGCGCCACCAACAGCGCCTCCATTCGCAAGAGGGCTGCCTGCAAATCACCCATTCGCATCCGAACTTCCCCTATCTGGTATTAGAGCTCTACCATTCTAATGAGAACATAGCCATCAAAGTCAATCCGGAAGAAAGACAATCAACCTTAAACGTCCATCAAGCCATTGCATGGCCAACTTGCATATTCCAAGGAGTTAGGCGCACATTCTAACAAGTTCCAAGAAGTTAGGCATAATTTCCAGGAAAGGATCAAGTCAAATTCCAAATAAAGACTTTCCTTTTATCATAATTCTATCTTTTTAGGTTTAAGTTTCAATTTAAACATTTAAATTCCATAGTATGCGATTTAAGGGAGGAATTGGATTCAAATTCGGATTTCCTTCCCTAGGATTAGTTTTAGGCGTTTTAAAAGGAAGGAATTAGACTCAAATTCGGAGTCATTCCCTAGGAGTTATCTTTAGGCGGATTTTATATTATTTTAGGAGTCTATCTTCATTTAGGCACCTACCCCATTAAGGGTAGGATAGGACTTTTACAATTTTTAAACCTTTCAGCTTGTTTTTGACTATTTAAGGCCGAAATCTGAATTTAATAAAAAGTTTTGATGTTTATTCACTTTGTGAGATATTCTTCTTAGTTCTTGAAGAACTATTCCGAACTTATCAAGGTTTTCCTTGTGCCGTTCACCCTTGACTTATCAAACGGAATTTCCATACTCGTTTGTGGCGTTTTCACCATACCAAGGTTCTTGCTTCGCTAAGCAACGGATCGCAGTTTCCATCAATTCTTGAAGATCTTGGATCGTATCCCATATTTGGCTATGGGTTTCGTCACATTGTTGGCGGGGTTCGTATCACATTCCACCTCGCAAACCAACCATCTCTTCCCGAATTTGACGGAGGTTCTCAGTCACCACCGTGTGAACTACTTCCTAGACCCCCACCAGACCCTTCTCCGCCGCCGTCAGCCTCTCCTGGTCCGCCGGTTTTAGTGCCATGGATCTTGCTCTGATACCAAAATGTTAGGTACCTAGCTCAATATCCAGCCAAACATTAATTCCACCCGCACACACAGACAGAAACAACGAGGAATTAAGAGGAAATCATGAGAGATTTTATTAGATAATCAACTATGAGCACCCGAGTACACTAAAATTGCAAAGGTAAAAGGATAGATCATAGATTTTGAGCTCTCCGGCACTCCCTTGCCGATATCCGGTGTTAACACCTAACACACAAAATACAAAATGGCTAACTACCCCCCAAAGCCTAAGTTCCAACACCTAATACCCCCATGAACATAATTGTCCATGTCAACACTCCTAGTCACTTTCAATATTTGCTCCCAGCCCCATAACTCTGTGTTTTCTTCCCCTTTTGTCCCTCCTAATATAAACATACTTCAATAAGGGCCTAACGTATGTTTAATCAGATTATGTCAAAGCACAGTAACCTTTTGTTTGATTCTAATGGAATCTAAAGTTAAGAAATAATGAATCTCCGTCAATCATAAAAAAGAAAAAAAGAAAAAAAAACTCTTAAGTCTTTTCTAATTTCTAATTTTTATTGAACCTCGAGCTATATTACGTCCCTGTAGCCACAAATGTGTGGATCTCTTGAAGCCAGTACAAAAAATAATACTGTCAAAATGGTAAGACTTTCCATTATTTAACAGCGCCTCATTTCCTCGTATGCTTTTGATTTCAGCATTCAATACCTGGATTTTTATAAAAACAAACGTCCATTTCACGTTAGAATCATATTAGATTAAAAAAAATATAATGATTTAATAATGATAGTAATCATAACAACAACAATAATAATTTGAGAGATTTTTCGGTACATTTGGTATATCAATAAAACATGTTTTTTTAACTGTTAAATCTGCATACTTTTTAATTTTTACATAATTTTATACAAATTAACAAACAAAAAACTTAACTTATTGATATGTTAATGTACTAAAGAAAGTTCCTAACAATTTTTAGCAAAAAACAACAATAACAATGTACCTGAATCTCTCCCTTCTTAATCTTTTTACAGGTACCAACATCAATAACCGGGAACTTGCCGTACTTCTGCTTCATAGTGAAGGGACCCTCTTGAGGCCTAGGTATTCCGTACTTGGTCATATCCCCCAAAAAAAGCCTGCTAAGCATCACGGCCAAATATTCCACCACCTTAAATGGTAAATACTTCAACAAATATCCGCACCAGCTCATTATCTCCCTTGTTAGGAGATGAACCTCCATAACCATAATCATGCACATAAAGGAGCGTCAGATTAAATCATCAAGAAAAATATAAAAAAAAAAAACATAGGAAATTATCATCTGCATTTTTCATTCATATATATTGTTAGTGCATTTTTTGTGTTGGCTTATTTTTGGCAAATTGGTTGTAAGATTGGTTGGCATTGTAAATTGGTAGTCCTCTTAAAGAAAGTTTGGTTGTCATGTTTATTGGCTGCAAATCAAAAATCTTGATTGCTGAAAATCAAGAGTGGACTTTCTGGAGCATTATGGCTGGCTCTTCTAAGGAAAGAATTGTGGAAAATATTAGGAATGATTGTCTTCTTACTGTCATTGGGGCTGGTGACCTGATTTGTGGTGTTAATGGAGGAGATATTACCATGATTGGATGTGCTTATCGTGGATGATTGAGGGGTGTGATTCTGTGATGGTATATACAGTGGCATGAAGGTTTTGATGTGGTTAAGAACGTGAGGTGAAAAATATGTGCTGAATACTATAAAAAGCTGTGTGTGTTCATGTGAGTATGAGATTGTAATGTTAAGAGTCGCTTGATGTGTTGCGACGGATTGTGAGAACACTTTTGAATTGGTTCTTCAGGAGAAGATTTCTTTGGTTTCGGGAGGAAACCGTCAAGTCGAGTGGTGCTCGCTGATCAAGCTTTCTAAGGAGATTCTAGGCAATGGCGACATCGTCAAGGAGGGAGTCGTTGAGTGTGTAAGACCGTTCGGTCCTTTGTAATCTTTTGAACTTAGTGGATTGATCATTGTCTGGGCGTGGCCCCGCAGAGTAGGTGTGCGCACCGAACTGCGATATCATTTTTCTGGTGTTATTTACATTCTTGCATTATTTTCCTGCATTTTGCCTTGCTGGTTTAATTTCATATTCTCTGTCACAAAACAGTGTTACAGTAAAGTGTTGTAACACCACTTGTGACACCAGGATAAAAACAGACCTAACAATTGGTATCAGAGCGGATCACTAACCATCTACTTAGTGAGATTTTGGGAGTTGGTCTGTTGTAATAGGGATGGATTTTCTGAAAGAAGGTGGTTCGGTTTCACGCCCTCCTCTCCTCGATGGCTGCAATTACTCTTATTGGAAATCTCGTATGAAGGCGTTCATCAAAGCACTTGATGAGAAAGCGTGGCGTGTTGTGTTGATTGGTTGGACGCACCCCGTTACCAAAAATGATGCTGGAGAAGAAGCTATGAAACCCGAAGAGAAATGGTCTACTGAAGAAGATCGATTGGCGAATAGCAATTCAAGAGCTCTTAATGCCATTTTCAAAGGAGTGGATGCCAATCGATTCAAGCTCATTTCTACATGTGAAACGGCTAAGGAGGCTTAAAAAATTCTACAAACGGCGCATGAGGGCACGGCAGCCGTGAGACTATCAAAGCTTCAAATTCTCACTACTAGGTTTGAAAACTTACGCATGCTTGAAGATGAAACAATTTTTTATTTCACTTCAAAATTGTGTGATATTGCTAATGAGGCATTTGCCCTTGGAGAGAAAATCTCAGAGGAGAGCTTGTGAGGAAGGTCTTGAGGTCTCTTCCACAGAGGTTTGCTTATAAGGTGACAGCTATTGAGGAAGCCAAGGATATCCAAACAATGAAACTTGATGAGCTAATGGGTTCTTTGCGCACTTTTGAGATGAATTTGGATGAAAACAATGAAGGAAAGAAGGAGAAAAGTACTACCTTTCAAGCCGAAGTTGATTATGATGATGAAGAAGACTTGGCCCAGTCCATAACAAAGTTGTCAAAGAAATTCAACAAGGTGATGAAGAAGGTCAATAGGAAGAATGAGAATTCAAGAAATGGCAATTCCAGCAACTTTCAGAAGAATAAAGCTGCACCAAATAACACAGAGATGAAGACAAAAAACAGGGGTATTCAATGCCGGGAATACAACGGTTATGGCCTCATTCAATCCGAGTGTGTCAACACCCTCAAGAAGAAGAAGAAGTCATTTAATGCAACATGGAGTGATGAAGACTCTGAAGGCAGTCAGGAGGATGAAGACCATGTGAGTAACTATGTTGCTTTACAGTGTTACAAAAGGTGTCGCAGACAGTGTTGCAACACTGCCTGTAACAGATTCTGTGAATAGTGAAAACGGAGGAGATTTTTCAGATTCTGAAAGTAACAGTGATGGTGAAGAGTTGACTATTGATGTCATACAAGAATCCTATAAGACCATGTTCAGCAAATGGGTTAAAGTGTGTGAAATGAATAAGTCTATACGGGAGCAAGTTGATGAGCTTATTAAATAGAATGATGTGCTTAAGAGGGCTGCCGTTAACTATGAATTTCAAGCTACTGAAAATGAGAAAAAGCTGCTGGACACAAAGGCTGAACTGGAGAGCACTCAGAAAAATTTGAAGATGATGAATTCCGGCACTACCAAGTTGGATCATATTCTCTCTATAGGAAAAGCAAGTTGTGATCGTCATGGACTTGGCTACACCGGTGAATGTTCAACGTCCAAGACAGTATTTGTGAAGGAGACACCCGCTCATGAACTTCGGACAACCTTCAGTAAGAAGGTTATTATTTCACCCCCTCGACGTAAAAGATTTGTTCCCATATGTCATTACTGCTGTTTAGCTGGCCATATAAGACCAAGATGCTATAAGTATTTGAATGCTTTGAAGAGAGGTATGCTCATGAATCCACCAAATTCTGCAAACTCAAGAAGGACACCTAAAGCAAGGATTAATGTGCAAAATAAATTTCCTAGACGTGTTTGGGTAAGGAAATCTGATTTAAGGTGTCATAGGACTTATACTTCTTTCGAAGCATGTACTAATGGTTGTGTGTGTAGTAATGGTGGCTGGTCCAAGCATTTGACAAGTGATAATATCAAGTTTAAGATAGTGTTACATTCAGGGGGAGTAAGACTCGTAGAGGACTCAGGGGGAGCAACAGCTTTTAAAAGGTTTTTCTATTAGTATTATTTTTTAACTTTGACTGTTTTTTATCAAAAAGGGGGAGAACTCTTAATTCAATTAACCCCCTTAGTTGGTTTTTTTTATCTTTTATCTTGTAATATGTTCTTTTTGTTAGTAATGTTAGTTTTGCCAAAAATAGCTAAATGGGGAGATTGTTAGTGCATTTTTTTGTGTTGGCTTATTTTTGGCAAATTGGTTGTAAGATTGGTTGGCATTGTAAATTGGTAGTCCTCTTAAAGAAAGTTTGGTTGTCATGTTTATTGGCTGCAAATCAAAGATCTTGATTGCTGAAAATCAAGAGTGGACTTTCTGGAGCATTATGGCTGGCTCTTCTAAGGAAAGAATTGTGGGAAATATTAGGAATGATTGTCTTCTTACTGTCATTGGGGCTAGTGACCTGATTTGTGGTGTTAATGGAGGAGATATTACCATGATTGGATGTGCTTATCATGGATGATTGAGGGGTGTGATTCTGTGATGGTATATACAGTGGAATGAGGGTTTTGATGTGGTTAAGAACGTGTGGTGAAGAATATGTGCTGAATACTATAAAAAGCTGTGTGTGTTCATATGAGTATGAGATTGTAATGTTAAAAGTCACTTGATGTGTTGCGACGGATTGTGAGAACACTTTTGAATTGGTTCTTTGGGAGAAGATTTCTTTAGTTTCGGGAGGAAACTCTCAAGTCGAGTGGTGCTCGCTGATCAAGCTTTCTAAGGAGATTCTAGGCAACGACGACATCGTCAAGGAGGGAGTCGTTGAGTGTGTAAGACCGTTCGGTCCTTTGTAATCTTTTGAACTTAGTGGATTGCTCATTGTCTGTGCGTGACCCCCCAGAGTAGGTGTGCGCACCGAACTGCGATATCATTTTTCTGGTGTTATTTACATTCCTGCATTTTGTCTTGCTGGTTTAATTTCAGATTCTCTGTCACAAAACAGTGTTACAGTAAAGTGTTGCAACGCCACTTGTGACACCAGGATAAAAACGAACCTAACAATTGGTATCAGGGCGGTTCACTAACCATTTGCTTGGTGAGATTTTGGGAGTTGGTCTGTTGTAACAGGGATGGATTTTCTGAAAGAATGTGGTTCGGTTTCACGCCCTCCTCTCCTCCATAACACCACAAATCAGGTCACCAGCCCCAATGACAGTAAGAAGACAATCATTCTCAATATTTCCTACAATTCTTTCCTTAGAAGAGCCAGCCATAATGCTCCAGAAAGTCCACTCTTGATTTTCAGCAATCAAGATCTTTGATTTGCAGCCAATAAATATGACAACCAAACTTTCTTTAAGAGGACTACCAATTTACAATGCCAACTTACAATGCCAACCAATCTTACAACCAATTTGCCAAAAATAAGCCAACACAAAAAATGCATTAACAATCTTCCCCTTTAGCTATTTTTGACAAAACTAACATTACTAACAAAAAGAACCTATTAAAATATAAAAGATAAAAAAAACCAACTAAGAGGTTAATTGAATTAAGAGTTAATATATATATATATATATCTATTATATCCTATCCTTACCACTTATTAGTGTTCTCCCAATGGTCAAAATCCTATGATTATCTAACATAACAAAGTTAATGCACCGTTGACACGTTATTGATAGTAACGCCCTTAGATGTTGTTAGAATTGAAAGTTTGGGTCATCCGTCTAGTCAGGAACTGATAACTTGAAGGAGATTTGAATTTAAAAATGAAAAAATCGGCCCAATTTGATGGGCCTAGGGCAGGCCTGAATATTTACATAAAAAGGTTAACAAATAAAATAAATAGAAGCGTACTACTCCTCTTACTGTAGGGCGCTTATCTAGCTAACATTTAGATCCGTTTCTACCCAAATTTTTCTGGTTCCCTCCACATTCCCCACTTATCCGATTGTTGCTTAACAATTTTTGGGTATCAAATGTACCTATCAATAAAGTAATTTTTAATGTGGTTGATTTCCTCTCTTTTGCAAACAATGAGGCATAGAGAAAGAGACACGACTCCTAGGAATCAACAACATGAAAACTTTGTTATAAATTATCCATTTTCTTTATCAGGATCAGGAATAACAAGAATGGTTAGAACGACAAACATCCATTTCGTTCATATTTCGTAATAGAAATTTGATAATCCATGAGTATACTATGAAATTACAAAGGTTGTACCTGTACGGCCCCTCCCGACCTAGAGGTTAAAGCTAGACTACATTGCCGAACCAACACTGACAAGTTCCGGGTCATACAAACTCAAACTTGCAGCTCTACAAGTTGCAAGTGTTTTTTTGAATTGTCACATTCCATTATTATATGATAGGAACACTTAAGACATGCACCATTACTTTATTGATAGTTTATTAGAAATGTATCTCTACTATATAGTATGTAATTCTTTGTTAATGTTTTTAAATCCTTGGATTTTTATTGGATGTGTAATTTTACATACTATCTAGGCAACTCAAGAATAATGCCGTTTAGGCGGTTGCCTATAAAACTGCCCTTAAGCCTATAAGGCCTCATTTTGTGCATAATTATGTAAAAGCTTTTTTTTTTTTTTTTTGACTTCAGACAATAATTATTCTCAGTAAATGTCACATTTTTTTTTTATTTTAGTCCTAAGTCACGGCTACTGAAATGCAATTTTTCTATTAAATAAAGTGAAGAATGTAAGATTATTGGTAGTAATTAGTGTTATATGCACACAGATTGTAGTAATTAATGTTATACAAGATTAGTTACTTTTATTAATTAATGTTAATACATATTTTTAGGTTTAATGGGGAGGCTTTTTCGTCTTTCTCTTTTTTCTCCGTTGCTGTACGCACGAAAGAAGTCGAGGGAAAATTAAGTAAATAGCTATTTTTGACTACCTTTTTTTAATAAATAGCTGAACTTTTTATTTTTTTATACAAATAGCCTAACTTTTTTTTTATTAAAATGGTCGTATTTTTCAATAGTCTATTAGTGATTGACCAACAATCAATTAATAATTGATATTCATTATCATAATTTACCAATAATTTATTGTTAATAAACATATAATATTTTATATACAATAAATCCAAGATTTAAAATTTTCATGTAAATTCAAGATTCATGAAGAAACAAAAATTATGTTCTAATGGTAAATATTAGATTTAATTGTAAATTTAAGATTACGAATAATATAATTTGTATTCTAATGGTAAGTTTTAAATTTATCGTACCGTAAATCCTAGATTTACGGGCAGTTTTGAAATATGTTTATCTTATATTAATAAAGTTAACAAGGGACATAAATTGTGTTATGGTGGTAAATCCTAAATTTATACTGTAATACGAATAACGCAAACTGTGTTATGATAATAAATCCTACCGAACAATAAATCTTACATTTATGAGTAGAATTAAAACATGTTTATCTTATATTATTAAAGTTTTGAATTTACAGTTTAAATCAAAGATTTACGAAGAAACATAAATTGTGTTATATTGGTAAATTTAGATTTACACTGTGAATCCGGGATTTACGAATAACACAACATGTGTTCTGATGGTAAATCATGGATTTACCATACTTTAAATCTTAGACTTACGAGCAAAACTAAAATATGTTTATTTTATATTAGTAAAGTTAATATAATCTAGTAACATATTCAACCACAATAATAGTCATACTTATATCGCTTACACCTTTAAATTTGTAATTCGTGATCTCCAACGACGGCAATCGAAATAAAGAACAACCAGCCATTAGAGAAAGGCGATGAGAGAGAAAAACAGACCCACGAATGATAGATAGAGACTAGAGAGAGAAGAGAGAAAAAAAGATCTAGAGGGAAAAAAGCAAAATAAAAAAAAAAGAGTAAAATTGAAAAATGAAAAACATAAAAGGTCTATTAATGTCTATAAATTGGTAAATTGGTTTTACTAACACAAGTTTTAAATATAGGCCTATTTTGTACAATTTTTCTATTTATTTTTAGGATAATTGTCGTAAATAGTCTCCCAACTCTTTTGTTAGTGACGATTTGGTCCTCCATCTTTTAATTTTAACAATTAAGTCCCTTATGCCTTTGATTTAGTAGCAAATGCGCTCCAATTACTAATTAACTACCGTCAAATATCTGATTGGAAAAGTGTACTTGCCTCTCACAATTCGCTGGTTTAAAGGGCCTTTGAGGTTTTTTACATGGATAGACACATTCACAATTCAACCAACAAAAAAGAAGAAAATTTTTTTATTAGTAATTTTTTGAAAGAAAAAACTAACAAACAAAACAACCACCAAGGAACAATGTCATGAACAATGAAAAAGGAAGCAAGGCATAATAGTATAATAATACATACCGGACTTCGAACAATGATTGAGGTATTTGCTCCATGATCAGCTAGATCCAATGCAATCTCCATGCCGGAATTCCCAGACCCAACAACCAAAACTCTCTTACCTTCAAACTCTTTTCCAGTCTTATACTCCGTCGAATGAAGAACTTCCCCACCAAATCCCTCCAAGCCATGAATATTGGCCGGCACAAAAGGGTGCGCAGTTTCTCCCGTAGCCACCACTAGGAGCCTTCCAGAATAAGATTCCTCAACCATGTCACGGCTGTTGTTGTTCCTGGCCTTGACAATCCACTTCTCCGAGGCAGCGTCGTAGGCAGCTGACTCGACGGTCCTGCCGTATAAGGGGTGGATTTGGAATCGAGTTTTGTAGTCGTTTAGGTAGTCAAGGAAGAGCTCCCTGGGGACGTAGGTGGGGAAACTGGGAGGGAAAGGAACGTTGGGAAGCTGGCAGATTTGTTTGTCGAGGTGGAGTTTGAGGCGGTCGTAGCCACGTTTCGCCCAGAGAGAAGCGACGCAGTCGTCTCTCTCGAGGATTATGTAGGGAATGGATAGGCTTGTCAGGCATGCCGCGGTTGCTAGACCCGAAGTCCCTGCTCCGGCTATTATCACTTGTGCTTCCTCACCCTTCATACTATAATGCCGTTTGTGATCAATTTGAATATAGAGTTTTTATTCCTCTTCTTCTTCTTCGTCTTCTCTACACTAGCAAGAAACCGTGATATGGATATGGTTAATTTCCTTCCACTTATTCAGAAGATGGATAAAACTATAACAATATGTGGTCCAAATTAATTTCAAATTTAAGATCTATGGATTTTTTTTGAAAAAAACAAAAATAAAACTTCGTAGCCTTGTGGTGATATACGCCATTATCAAATTTGTCGCATTTGATGCAGTTTCCAATTACTAATCGACATCTTCTTATAATAATTGAAAGTCAACATGAAATGTGCGGTTCAAAGTTAATTGAAAGAACAAGAAATGCCATGATAGGAAAGTTTGAAAGAGACGTTACTTTTTGTGAGTTGAAAGGTACAATTAAAAATTTTAATAAAAAATTTTATTTAATTTTTTTATTATAATTAAAAAAATTTATATAAAATTAAATATTAATTTAAATTAAAAACTCATATATTAACAAACTGAATGAAACTCTCGTTAATTTTTCTACACTCTACACATTATGGTAATTCACAATGCTCCCACTAACTTAAACCTTTATCTCTCTATCAGGAAATTATATCCACACCCCATACTTTTTATAAAGACACCCATTTTTCTTAAGAATATATATATATATTTGTTACGATTATACCCTTACACTTAAATGGTATTATGTAGTTACAGTCTTAGGGCCTAGTACACCTACGTCCCGTTTATTTCAGTAAACTAACGAACTCATTACTTATTTTTTTAAGAATCAAATCGTTAATGATATTCCTACAAAAAAATAAAAATAAAAACAACGATCATTGACGACAATCAATATCAAATGTTGAAACAAAACTCGGATGCAGTTTCAAATCCTTCAACACTGCAACTCAATTTGTCTCGTTGCCTCTTGCATCAATCTATCTTAGAGCTTGTTCGGTTGCATTTTTTAGTTATAATGATTTGAGTGTAGATCTTGAGTTGAATTTAAATTATAATTTAAGTTAAAATTATAATTTGAGTTTGTGTTTGAATGTGCACATTTGAGTTATGGTTTGAATTAAGAATCTATTTGAATTTGTGTTTAGGTGGGTCAAAACTTGAATTTATATTTATATAGTATTTTAATAAAAACTCAATGGTCATAAAAAATTTTAATAGGGTATATGGGTGAGATTTTATTAATCTTTTCGTTGTGAACGCATAGAAAAAAAAAGCATCTCAATCGGAATTAAAATTAAAAGGTTATGATATTTTTAAGAATAGAACAAATATTGTTCATTAACTTGAGTTTGAGTTTAAGAACTTGAGTTGAAGGAAAAACTTAGGGACTGTTCAGCAGCCCCTTTCTTGAGTCAAAAACTCAAAAAAAGTAACTCAAGTTACAACTTTATTCAAATTCATGTTCTTTTTAAGTTTAAACTCGAGTTTGGGACTAAAACTCGAGTTTAAGTTTCCCCTTCAACTCAAGTTCAGAAACTCGAACTCAAATTAATAAACAGTATTTTTTCTATTCTTAAAAATGCTATAACTTTTTCGTTTTAATTCTGATTGAGATGATTTTTTTCTATGCGTTGACAACGAAAAGACGAATAAAACCTCACCCATATACCCTATTAAAATTTTTCATCAGCATTGAGTTTTTATTAAAATATTATCTAAATATAAATTCAAGTTTTGACTCACTCAAACACAAACTCAAAAAGATTCTTATCTCAAACCATAACTCAAATATACACAACTAAACACAAACTCAAGTTACAATTTCAACTTAAGTTATAACTCAAACTCAATTCAAAATCTACACTCAAGTTACCTAACTCAAAAAGGGCAAAAGAACAGCCTCTTAAACTCAGATTTTAGTCACAACTCAAGTTCAAATTCAAATTTTATAAAAGAATATAAACTTAAATAAAATAATAATTTGAGTTTAAATTGATTTTGAGTTTTGGTATAAAAGAACAAGTCATTAATGTTCTTCCCTTTCTTTGTTCAGCTTTTTTCACTATTCTGTATATATACTCGTTTTAGCTGAATTACTATTTTTTGCATCACATCATAGGAAAAGCGGATATATAATAATAGAGGAGTGGAAGGGAGAGTAAAATGATAATCTTTCCATAAAAAAAATGCAAATTCAAATGTACAAGATTTTCCTTCACTGATAAACATATAATATATATAACAATGGAAAAATGATAATCTTTATATTTAGAAAAAAATTTAGAAAAGTAAAAAATTAATTAAAGGTGACGGATTTGTAAATAATGGTTTTCAAAAGTATCAACAAAAAAAAAAATAACGGGCATAAATAATTTGTAAATAACATCTTTACAGGTAATGGGCATATAACTATAAGTATCAAAAAAAAAAAAAGTAATGGGCATATATGGATTATTTTCACAAATGCTTTTGAATTATGTACTTTATTTTAAATTTTTTTATGACTTTTCAAAACAGTTTAAAATACTCTTTAATTTATAAAAAATAGTTTAAAATACATATTTTATCTATATCTGCATATAATATTAACAGAATTTATTAGCGTGTGACATGAACTTAAAGGTTTTTTATTTAATAAATGAATATTAAAAATTAATAAAAAGTATTATAAAGATTAATCATAATTATTAAACAAATTATCTTTATGTCAAAAGAAATCAGAGTTCCGTTATCAAAAAAAAAAAGGAAATCAGTGAGCTCTTTTCTTTTTTAATATAAAAAATCAAAGAACTCTCCACTCAAAATTAAGAAAAATAAAAGAGAGAAAACTCTAAACCCAGAAAATCATCCTATTTCTATGGCTGCAATTGCTCTACCTTTCCATTTCGAACCCAGCCTTGTTGAACCCACACCGGTGCGAATCAAACCGTCGTGAACTCAGCCAACGGAGTGCAGAGCTCGCCGTCATGTTGAGCTCAAAACTCGCAATCGTCAGCGTCGTTTGCAGCCAGCCCATCGAGCCCAATAGCCCCTTCCCCCATCTCCGCCCTCTAAAGCCTGTGCCCGCCCAAATCTGATTTCGATTTGCATGGATTGGATTGGCTCGCAGCAAGTGGTGGTAGTTTTGTTACATTAAAGTACTTCATCGTGGCCTTGTTATTCGTACTAATTAAAAGCTTGTTTGGCTGCGAAGAAGAAGAGAAGGAGATCTCATGGTGTTTCTTATCTGTACAAGTGGGTGTTTGCGAAAGACGGAAAGAGGAAGAAACAAGATCAGCAAGAGGCATAAATTTGGCTATGGAATCACCCCTTGATTTTCCAAAACAAACCAAAAAGAATCAAAATTAAAATAGCTGAACACGGATTCATTGTTGAATAATTTCTGGGTTGTTCTTGAACAAAGATCAAGAAGATCTTAGAGGGAGAAAGAGATCCGAGAGACTGTTGTTTTGGGTTTGTGAATTGTGAGGAAAACTGGGGAACATGTTTTTCTTTTTCTTTTTTCTTTTTCTTTTTTATCTTTTAATAATTAGATTATGAGTTTGTTTATTACTTTTCAATAATTAATCTTTTTTTAAGCTTAATTTAGTTTTAATATTTTAATATGAGTTGCCACGTGAGCATGTTTGTTAAATTTGTAGGAGTTGGATGAAAGGAATAGTTTGATCGTTTGTTATACATTAAGGGGTGTTTTGAACGGTTTAAAATATTGTAAGGCACTTTGATATATGATACATAATTTAAGGGACAATTATGAAAATAATCCTACAAAGAAAGAACGTGGATTGAGTTGCAACAGAGAGAGATAGAGAGGAGGAGAAAGGAACCTTGGTTGTCATGACTCGCGATCCAAGAGGGAGACCGTAGGTAAAGTGAGAGAGAGAGTGGCACTATTGTACATATATACGTAAATAATGGTTTATTATCAGGTGTGCTTGTTTGAAACAGTAAAGATGACAATATTAAAAGATGAAGGTGGTATAAGGGATTTTTAGGAAAGATTAGAAAAAATGAATTACTATTTGTATAGTATACATCTTTAATTAATTTGATTTTAATTAAATTTAACCATTAAAAACTTCTTCTATTGATTATAAAGAGGTCCTATCAAAAAAGACCAATAAAAAATGTCTATAGGAAAGCACCAACTGGATACATAAGATCATTTTTAGGCACAAATGCCCACCACAACAAACCATGAAATTCACCAATCACCAAAAAAAAGAAAGAGTTTTTCTTCTAAGTTAGTAGTGACAGTTTTTTACTGTTAAATTAAGTTAAAATCACATCAGATTAAAAAAATATATAGAACAGATAAGTTCTTAGACAAATTTTACAGCTCAAAATAGAAAACTAAGAAGCTCCCAGAAAAAATAAAGAGAAAATAAAAAACCTAACAGTAAGATGAACACTTTTCCTGTTGATTAACTTTGATAATATTGGGCGTTACACGTATAATGGACTTGATATCATTGGCTATGTTTTCAGCATCCGATTTGGCTCCATAGAACCCTTGTCTGGACAGACCAACGCAGTACAAACCCCCTTTTCCCTTCCAATGATTAGGGTAACTTGGTTTAGGAATTCCATCATCATTCAACAAATAGTCATCCCCCTATATATACATGCACCAAGCAGTCAAAAACTTTGGTTTTTTTTTTCTGAATAAAAACTTTGTTAGTTAATTGGTCACAAAAAAACCATCATTTTGGATATTTTATTTTAATATTTCTTCAAACTTCATGATGTAGAAGAGTAGCAAGATTTGAAAGGAAAGAATCTCATAGCCAGAGGTAATACTTTTTCTTTTCTTTTTCTGGTGATCTTTCTTTTCTTAGTTGAAAACTTTTGCATGTTATGTTTCCTAGATTTGTGATTGCTTTACCTTTAGCCACAAGTGTGTTGACCTCTTAAAGCCAGTACAAAAAACGATTGCGTCAAAATGGTGCGACTTGCCATTCTTCAACGACACGTCGTTGCCCTTTATGCTTTCTATTTCCGATGACAAGACCTGCGTATAAACAGTTAAACACCAACCATTGAGTTGTACAATCTAGAAATGACGAAACATTTGATTAAAATAAATTGAATCTGTTTGGATACAAACTTCCCCTTAATACCATATTTAGTGCTATACATATAGAGTGTATATGGGGCAGGATAAATAGTCTCCACCCTGTCTCGTTTTAACCGGGACAAGGTGGGGGCAGGTCAAGGTGCGTTTACATGCGGGGCGATGCACGGCTGCACAGTTTGCCCCATGCATATGCACGTTTAGAAAGAGGCTAGGGATCATGTAATTAATAGAATGGAAGATCATATGGAAAAATACGGCTAAAAATGTTTTATTTTGTTATGTGACATATGTTGAGAAAAGTGCATGTGTGTGATGGAAAGTGGATGAGAATGTGAAGTGATTTATATACATAGAAGGATCCAAGACCTAATAGGTTAACCTTTTGGTTCAAGTTAAATTCTTAAAGTGTGTTGGGTCAGTTTCACATGTGTTGTCTCCCCAATAACATATATAAGGTACTGAATTGCCACACAGTGTTAATGATATTTTCATCATTGGTGATAAAATTTTTTTTGTTTATTTTTCTTTGGTAACATCTATAGCAAAAACTGCTATTTCACTTTACCAGTATGAAATGATGTTTTAATCATTTGATTAGCTGTTCAACGATCTAATTACGAATAAGAGTAATTTTGTGTATTATGCGCAGTAAACTTTTAATATGGACACTTACATATCAAATCATTAAAAAATAAATCTAACGATTAAAATATTAGTTTTTACCTGTTTATGTCTCAAGAGTTCCCTTTTTTTTCTTTTGCTAAAAGAGAAGGTTTATGTCTTTAGATGGATTATGGCCACAATCTGTTTGTGTCCTCAACAACTTTCTTTCCTCTTTTTTCCCTGTCCAAACATAAATTATGACATACCTGAATCTCGCCGGTTTTGATCTTCTCACAAGTGCCCACATCAACAACTGGGTATTTCCCATATTTGTCCTTCATTAAAAAGGGGCCTTCATTAGTAGGTCTTCTTAGGCCATACTTTTTCAAGTCCCCGTAGACCAACTTGCTAAGCATGACCATCAAAGAGTCAACCACGCCAATAGGAAGACGCTTCAACAAAATCAACGCCAAATAAACCATCCCTCTTGACAAAACATGAACCTACAAATAAATTATGAACACATGAAAATAAGATGAGTTAGACATATAACGTAATCTTATCAATAATATTTGTATATAGTAAAAAATTTAAAATAATTTACAAGTAACAAAAACTAAAATCATTACAATAATTAGTACCTAATTTTGTTATTCTTAAACATACAAAAAAAAAAAAAAAAAAAAAGATTTGCTCAACATGCCGTGTAGTGAAATTTTCACACATACCGGGCTTCGAACAATGATGGAAGTTTTAGCGCCGTGGTTAGCCAAATCCAAAGAAATTTCCATGCCGGAATTCCCACACCCAACAACCAAAACTCTCTTCCCCTTAAACTCCACCCCACATTTAAACTTGGTGGAATGAAGAAAATCACCACAAAAACCACTCAAGCCTTTGATCTCCGGCACAAAAGGGTTGGCGGTTTCCCCACTGGCCACCACCAAGAACCTTCCAGAATAATCCTCAATCTCATGATGATCACCATCAATATTACTATCAGTAGTACCATAAACCACCCTTGCTTTCACAACCCATTTCTCCAAACCGTCGTCGTATCTCGCGGACTCAACGTCTCTCCGGTACATCGGAGCTATGTTGAAGCAAGAGACGTAGTCGTCCAAGTATTGGGTGAATAACTTTTTGGGCAAGTATGGGGGGAAATCGGAAGGAAAAGGCATGTGAGGAAGCTCACAGAACTGCTTTCTGAGGTGAAAGTGGACACGGTCGTAGGAATACTTTTTCCACAGAGAAGCAAAACAGTCTTCTCTCTCTAAAACTATGTGTGGAATCGATAAACGGCTTAGACAAGCAGCCATTGCTAGGCCTGAGGGCCCGGCTCCGACTATTATCACCGTTTCTTCCTTCATTTTTTGAGAGATGTATTGTATGTATACAATACTATTAGCGACTCTCTTAATTTTGAATGTGGTTTCTTAGTTTGTGTTTTTTGGTTTTGTAATTGCATGACTTCATATTTATATATGTAAAGGGCGGTGAGAAGTTGTCAATATTACATATAATTTATTTTAAAAGAATTCTTTGGCCAATAGAATTACGTCGGCATAAAAAGTAGTGTAAAATTAAGACATTATTAAAATAGAGTTACTTAACTACTATAAATAGAGTTAATTAACTTTTTAAAAGGTAGTGTAAATTTAAGACATTATTCTATTAAAGTCTTACCTCGTTGGTCATTGATATTAATTTACATATATCAATTATGTGACCTGTGGATCATGCATGATTCCGTATAAATTTAAGTGAAAAAATTACATATGTACAATACTGATTTTTGTATTTTAATCCACATCATCAATTTTCTATATTTAATAAATAACAACCATGAAAAGCATAATCATTTAAAATTCATGTATACATACATATATATATATATGTATATGTATATATATGATAGCTCCTAAAGACGACGTCCCCCGACGATAATGCGGGGTATAAATTGTAGTAAACGGTTGCAACAACTTGCATTGGAAATGAAGTAAAAGAAAGAAAAAGGCATGAAAATAAATGAGTGTCAAAGTGCAGAGAGAAAATGAAAAGATAAGTGACGACATGTCGTTTGTTTTTTTACTTTACTAATTGGGGGTAGAAAACGTTAGTGGCACAATAAATAAATAAATATATATATGTATATGATAAAAATGATTCTCCAAATTTCTCAAGGTAGCTAGCTACTTGTGTTTGTTTTTCATTTTTCTGATTGATAACCAAGTTAGTGTTTACTGGGGCAACTTTGTGGGCTCCAAGAACCCTTAATGGCGGATGACGTAAGGGCAATTTTGAAATAAAAAAAATAACTTAGGCCTTATTTATTTCACTGATTCGAGTTTTCAATTTTAAGTTTTTACAGTAAAAAACTCTCAGAAAATGTCACATCTAACTTTTTCTGCTACAGTAAAAAAATTTCAAAAATGTCACATCTCAACTCAAATTAAAAACTCAAATCCGTAAAGTGAACGAGGTCTTAAACAGTGAGACCTGTTCTGAAGCTTAAACGTAAGTATGCAATAGTTATAAAATATTATATAATCAATAACAATTTTATTTGCTGTTGCTTACAAATTAACTTTTTTAAAAGTACTCTATTAAGAATTATCAGATCATTATTAAATTCTAAGGTTTTATATTTTAAATTTATGGTATAATCATGCTATGATTTGATCGTTAAAAAATCGCGGATTTCTTATCAAAAAAATCTCTTATTTAATATAGTGTAGATTTGTTTCTTTGGGAACGTTTTGGAGATAATATATAAAAATGCAACACAAATGGCCCCAATGACATGAACTGACAATGCAAATGATGTGTGCATGAGATTTAATTAGTCTTCTCGTGTAGAAGACGTTTCCACAACTTAAGAGACGGGGTTCTGTGTTCCCTTATAAAAACATCCTATCGTTTTCTTATCTTTGCTTTTTCTTATATATATATATTTTTTTTCTTTTCTCTGTTTGTGACAATATGATGATTTTTTTTTCCTTCAAAATATGATGATTTTTCTTCTTTGACGAAGAAGAAATATGGTGGTTAAAGCAGAAAAATAATTTAACGAAGTGAATTTAAAAATATCTGTGAAAAAAGTCAAAAAAAAAAGAAGAAATATAATTAAAACCAAGTATATAAATAAAAAATTATTGAGTACTAAAGTACAAAAGTAAGGGGGGGGAAAAAAAAGGAAACGCGAACGAAACTTGACTTGAGCCACGCGTCAGGGCCACAAAGATAAGTGTTTTCACGCCTTTATAATAAGGTAGATTTATGAACAACACCAGAAGCATGTAATTCAGTAACTTCTTTTGTGTAAAGGAATTATAGCAATCTAAGGCGAAAACGACATATAGCATACGGTTAAACGTTTCAGCGACTTTAGCTACAAATAAAAACACGTCATTTCTTCTAAAATAATAACGTAAGAATTAAAAGAATAACAAACTTACCTAAAAACGTCGAGTCATTTTTATACAATAAACGACACCACACTTTTGAGGAGATACATACACACTATCGCACACGACATCTTCTTTTTATTATTATTATTATTTTTAAGGGAAGCTTAATGCGTTCTGTTAGTAAATTTGTGTCACAATTCAGATCATAATTCATGATTCGTTATAGTATTTTTTTTCATAAAAAATATACATAAATTAAAAATAATTCTGAATCATAAATCAACTAAACAACTATTTACTTTCACAGGATAAACAACTAATTGCACTATCAAGCAACACAATGATGTGGTTTCCCAACGAGAGACATGTTTTTCAGACGAGGAAAAAAAACTATTTTAAATTTCTTTTAACATCTACTAGATGTTTCACATTTTTCCCCCTATATACTACACGTGTATAAGAAGCAAGTCGAATGCTATGCCGGTGAATGAAATTGGTGGAGAATGACGATGAAAGAGACCCAGCAAGCTTAACTAAATCCCATTGAAAAAAAAAAAAAAAAAACCTTTATTATTATTATTATTATTATTATTATTGGAGATTTCGTTAAACAAAAGCCAAAGAGGCTGGAAATGATTAAGACCAGCCTGCCACGTGTGTAGAGCAAATCATAGCCAAATAGCCCACTGAACCCTTCTTTTCTGTAAAGAAAACAAATATCAAATTGAAGCTAGTTTATCATGACAAAAGCAATCAGTACTTATTAATCTTTGTATGTTTTTCATATGGGACTGCAATGATTAAAAATATATGCATTGCTTTTTTCCTTTTTTGAGGAAAACATGCATTATCTATTGGTTTCTGGATTTACGACACTGAACAGTTTATTGATAAATATATGGCTTGCTATCTAGTTTCACTATCTAATATCTAAAACTCGCATCTCAAGAATGACATATCCCTTGAAAGATTAACAAAAGAAAAAAAAGGGAAAATATGGTTTTTTCTTTCAGGAAAAAAAAAAGGGGGGGGGGGGGGGGGGGTGTTCAGATCTTGCAGAAGATATTATGCGTGATGAGAGGCACCATTATTGGAGAAATTTATGGAATAACTAAGTTCTTGTCTTGCCTTACACATGTTCATCATATACACGTGTCTTTATTCATTTTTTTTTCTTTTCTCCTCCATCCACTTGCCGTTTTCTTACGTTTCAAGCCTAATCAGTTTCAAACTCGAATTGTCCTTTTTAAAAACAAAAACAAAAAACAAAAAAAAAATCCAACTTGCAATAATGCGTCACATGAGGGCTGCCCGTTTGGTTCATGGATTAAAATCATGAGATTAGAATTATTTTCAATTTACGTGTATTTTTTGTGAGAAAAAATACTGTAGCGAACCATGAACCATGATTCGAATCAGAGAACGAATTCTCTAACCAAACGGGATGGGATAAAAATGTGAAGATAAAGATGAAAATTCCAGTGGAATTGACTATTTTGCTAAACTAAAATTTAAAACGTGCTGGTGCATGTAACTAACGTGCTAATACTATATCAAATTGAAAGATACAACATGATACTAAGTTATATGACAAAAAATAAATAAAAAAGGCTAATTAGTTGATTGGATCTTTGCTAAATAAATAAAAAAAGGCTAATAATTACTTAGATCTTTACTTGAAGAGGAAAGGTGCATGATCTTTCTGACCTCGTACTCTCTTTTTGATCGATTTATTATGTAGTAGGGCACAAGACGATCTTAATTGAATACTAATCAATTATTTTATTAGAAGGCGACAATATTTGAAAAAGAGAAAAAAAAAAAAGCTACTTTGATTAATTAAATATTTCTTTTAAAATAACTTTAGCTTTATTGTATGACGTTCTCTCTCACCGATAATAAAAAAGATAAATTTATAATTACGGATATAATTTGACGATAATTCTACACTTAACTTCAGTTAGTTAAGAATTTAAATTCCTCTACTCTAAAACAAAGTATTCATTAAGAAAAAGTAATCTCATGATGCATTATAAAACTAAAACTCATATTAACAATTCATTAAAAAAAAAAAAAACCTAAACTTAAGAAGGCTAACTAAATTGAGACAGAACAATAATTAAATTGTAAAACTCACAATTTTGACTCTAACTACTTTCATGATGTACGTGATAAAAATTTTGTGTGCATATTATTATCTCTTATTATATAATATAGCGTGATAATCCTAATTAAATATTGATCAACCTATAAATTAGAAAGTAGGGATGAAAGACCAGAACGGGGCGGGGATTGATTTTTCATTCTTATCTCCAACCTTGCCCATTCCCAACTTAAAGACTATACATTTTAAAATTATTATAACTTAAATAAAAATAGAGTAGAAACTCATAATAAATTTAGACCAAAATTAAAGGTTTTATACAAGGGATTCTTTTTTTAAATGCTTTTCTGAGCCCTATAGGGAGAGGAGTTTCAAACTGCTTGACCGTAAGAGAATACTAACTTTAAAGAAAAAGTCGATGTTGGAGATGTCTGAAGACATGGCACGGATAAAAGTATCAAGAAAAAAAAGAGATTATGGAAAAAATTTTACTAAGAATGATGATTTGCTTATGGTTAAATTTTAGAGATTTTTCATAATCTCTACTGTTCAAACTAAATTTAGTCTCATCCCCCAATAATTTTTCCCATCTCCACCCCATTCGGGTTGAGGCTTGTCCCTGCAGGGAATCCCTATTAGCAAGCCTAAGACAAAGGCAATTACCAATAGAGAAAGAGAGAGGATTTCCCCACTCCCCTCGAAAAAGAGAGGATTAAAACGTTATTTTGCCGACATTATGATGTCTGGTGGTTCCAAGCTTGAAGGAAACCTCAATTATTGCAGTATCGTGGTATTAACTAATCGTCAGAGACAATAACATAATATATAACTGCGATATGCATTTTTTATTCTGTGAATATATAATATTTTAATATGTAGCTGCTATCAGTTTTTTGTAGTATGTTTCCATTA